CACGCGTCAAACTGATACAAAATAATCATTAGCGTGGATCGATTGAATCTATCCTTGCACAATGAGGCTAGTGATTGTGTTGTTAGGTATTGTATCGTTTTCTTTTAATTGAACCAGGGCGCACTACTTAACAGACATGGGTCTTTGGCCGGCGCACGCTCACTCGGGATGAGTCGTCACTATCATCATCATCACGTGCGTGCGTAGTGTACAAGGTGCATCACGTGCTCATCATCACATGGGTGCGTAGTGTACAAGGTGCATCACGTGCTCATCATCATCACATGGGTGCGTAGTGTACAAGGTGCATCACGTGCTCATCATCATCACATGGGTGCGTAGTGTACAAGGTGCATCACGTGCTCATCATCATCACATGGGTGCGTAGTGTACAAGGTGCATTACGTGCTCATCATCATCACATGGGTGCGTAGTGTACAAGGTGCATCACGTGCTCATCATCATCACATGGGTGCGTAGTGTACAAGGTGCATCACGTGCTCATCATCATCACGTGGGTAGTGTACAAGGTGCATCACGTGCTCATCATCATCACGTGGGTAGTGTACAAGGTGCATCACGTGCTCATCATCATCACGTGGGTAGTGTACAAGGTGCATCACGTGCTCATCATCATCACGTGGGTAGTGTACAAGGTGCATCACGTGCTCATCATCATCACGTGGGTAGTGTACAAGGTGCATCACGTGCTCATCATCATCACCACGTGCTCATCATCATCACGTGGGTAGTGTACAAGGTGCGTCACGTGCTCATCATCATCACGTGTGTAGTGTACAAGGTGCGTCACGTGCTCATCATCATCATCACGTGGGTGCGTAGTGTACAAGGTGTGTCACGTGCTCATCATCATCACGTGGGTGCGTAGTGTACAAGGTGCATCACGTGCTCATCATCATCACGTGCTCATCATCATCACGTGCTCATCATCACGTGCGTGTGTAGTGTACAAGGTGTGTCACGTGCTTATCATCATCATCACGTGCTCATCATCACGTGCGTGCGTAGTGTACAAGGTGCATCGCGTGCATTGTGTATCACCCTACGTCACCGAACAGCACGGTTGGCTACGTACCGTGCGAAAGAAGTTCAACATACATCATACACATTTGGCAGTTCGCCTAATCATTCTTTTCGCGAAGCCTCATTCTGCTGACCAGCCGCTCAATGTCAAAGGCGAGTTTGCTTTATTGAACCAATCCCTGCTCAAGCGATGCACTCGCAGAACGCCGTGTTGCCGATAGCACGTGTAAACAACAACAACAACAACACCAGCCTTAATGTGTTCATGGGAAGGAAAAATATATGGGAAGGCGATGTTTCGTTGCCCGTTTTGTCAAGCGATCGTGTGCTCTGTGGGTATCTGGTGCCACCTGCCGTCTCTAATGGTTCACCAGCATGGAACGCCAGATGATTTTTACATTTCTAAAAATACTGGGTGCTTCAAACATTTTTTGAACACTTCCATGGAACTATCGTTTTTTGAAAAATAACGGATAATAACACTATTAACACGATGACAAATGTAATGTTGATAGCTTCAAAAAGTCTCACACTTGTTCGACATCGTTGTCAACGCGTGCCTGGAATCATCTCCAGGCGTTCTCCAAAAAAGGATGTAATACTAACTTCATTTTATATTGCGTCATTCATGCGAATTGCATCCCACAATGCTTTTTGTTCATTATAAAGAAATGCCAAATTATATTTATAACAACTGTCAAGCAAATGAAAACCTTCCGAAAATGAAAACGAACAACCAAATCAATAAATGGCACCAAAACAATAAGCACAAACAAAAAAAGTGATGGTGAATTTATCAATGATGATGATACTACGGCTGCTGCTGATGATGATGTCGATGTTGACGATATCGATTCCACGGAAAGTATATCGGGCAGTATTTCATTTAATTTTAAATAAATATGAATGTCTGCGGTAAAATTCATTATATGCGCAAAACTATCCCAGGATGTAACCACCCTGTCATAGCCCAAACCATGAATAAAACATCGACCGAGAAGAGTTATGCTACAACACACGCGCAGTGTAAATGTTCAAACAAATCGGTTTTTCTAGGAAGTATCTGCAATAACCCTGTTTGCACGGCCAGTGACCCGCACGGATACATTCCTGAGAATCCTGGAGAAATTCCAGACTCATCTGACCTCTACGTGTGCGTGTGTACGTTGAACTTCTTTCGCGCCGTACGTAGCCCAACCGTGCTAATCGGAGGTGCGAGTGGAAGGACAACAAATGCAAAAAAGTAGTTCTGAAGAAATTGAGTTTCCAATCAAGATTTAAAAGTGCGTAACTCCCACTGGACTTCCTAATAGCGGAAGGAAGAGCGTTCCAGACGGCCACAGAAGCGCGTTTGAAAGCGCGCGATGCCATTGGCCGTCTGCGTTCGATGGCTTTCAGCCAATAGCCGCTCGATTGTGCACGCGCTCTATGGTGACGTCACCCGTCCCCGTGACCAGTGACCATCATCCCTTCTCGCCGTGACGCGTCATGTCCCAAGCCCGCTTAATCCACAAAGACAAATATCCCCCCCACCCACCCTTTATCGCCTTTAACATAATTTTTTTAGGGGGGAGGTAAGTGCTGTTAGGGAGTAGCACATATGGTCAGCACCACGCCCGGCCGCCTTTGTCTTCCCCACAGTGGCAATGTTTACACGCCGCACAAGGTACTCATTGAGGCTGAGTCAACCTAGGGGAGGTCCATGACCGGTTTAGATTATCGTCACTGGTGTTGGTCGTGAGCGGGAATGAAACTCGGGTCGCAGCGCATTAACCGCTGCACTACCGCTCCCCCCCACACACGCGCGCGCACACGTGTCTGCGCACGTACAAAATAACTCGCTTAGCGCGACCCCAGGAGGACGCTGATTCGCTATAGCGCCCTTTGTCCTGGAGACTGTGCACGTGCCGACACACGAGTTGACAAGCCTCTCTCGCCACGCGTGGGTTAATGTCGTCGTGCTATCACCTGGCTGGTGGTCCACATCCGACGGAGTGACGCTTGCGAGCGCGCTGCGTGAAGTGTTGAATATATTTCACGCAGTCGCAATGCGCGAAAGCAATTATTTACAAAGGTCATTTATGTCGCCGAGGGGAATTCCATATGATCCTTAATTAAGTGTGCCAGGCTCTAACCTATTCATTTCGGCAGCTTTGTGAAATGAGTTACAATCGGACGTAACAATGGGGATATTTACACGATCCAACCCCAAAAAAATACGATTTTACGATGTTGTAAGCTTGGTTATTTCAGCATCATTAGTCCCCTCCAATGATGGGGATTATGAATTAGAATCCTGGCTAGGCTCTGTGGATAACCCGCGGATGATGATGATGCATATCATTGCCCCAGGTCACTCTTTGCAAATGAGGCCCGATACTCGGTCTCTTGAGTTTTTCCTCGCCAGGTTCAAATCACATCGTTCCGGGCGACACACGCACAGAGTGTGTTGGGTGGTGTTGCCGTTGCTAGTGGTGAACGAGCACAATCAACAACAACAAAACACAAACTCAACACATTCATCGTCGAAAAAAGGGATGTGTAAAAGACGACGTTTCGTACAACGGCCCTTCTACAGCGCACAAAGACAAAGACCCGCTTCCCGTACAGCCTGAAAAGACTGTTGGGGCGAAGTAGCACCTATGAAGACCAGCACGGACACACGAGGGGGTGGTGGCCAACACCATGCCCAGCCGCCTTTGTCTCCCCATTGGCGATATTTACACATCGCACCAAGTAGTCATTTGAGGCTGAGTCGACCTACACACACACGTGTGTGTGCTCAACATACACACGTGCCGGCCTTCATAGGTGCTACTCACGCACAGCACTTGCCCCAACAGTCTGTTAAAGGCTACACTGGGGATCTTTGTGTGTGTGTGATGTGGAGGGATGTGGATCTCAGTAGGGGGCACAGGTGGTGCATCGGCCAGTCATCTCAGTCAGTCGACCCGTGGCACCACCTGGGTCTGCCCCGTGACCTCCTGCCAGCGGGCGTTTGACACTTCACGTGGCCTCAACGCGCACCCAGCCTGGCACAAGCGCCGTGGTGACGGTCACGGCCACTTAGTGGCGAATTGCGGCAGTTGTCGGTCTCAAGGTCGACTCAGCCTCAAATGAGTACCTGGGCGCGGTGGTGTGTAAACCTCACCACGAGGGAGACAAAGGCGGCCGGGCGTGGTGGTTGGCCACCCCCCCCCCTCGTGTGCCGCGTGCACGGCCTTCGTAGGTGGGTGCCACTCGCTAACGGCACTTGCCCCCAAAATTTCCGTTGAAGACTACACGGGGGACCTTTGTCTTTGCATGTGGCGAGCGTGCGGGGGGGGGGACTCCGGCCCCACCTGCGCCCTCCCCCTCGCTCCCCCCTCCCTCCCCCTCCCGCCCCCCCCCCTCCTGCCCCCCCCCTCCTGCCCCCCCTCCTCCCTCCTGCCCCCCCCCCCTGCTACCACCTCCTGCCCCCCCTCCTGCCCCCCCCCTGCTACCACCTCCTGCCCCCCCCCTCCTGCCCCCCCTCCTCCCTCCTGCCCCCCCCTGCTACCACCTCCTGCCCCCCCTCCTGCCCCCCCTCCTGCCCCCCCTCCTCCCTCCTGCCCCCCCCCCTGCTACCACCTCCTGCCCCCCCTCCTGCCCCCCCTCCTGCCCCCCCCTCCTGCCCCCCCCTCCTGCCCCCCCTCCTCCCTCCTGCCCCCCCCCCCTGCTACCACCTCCTGCCCCCCCTCCTGCCCCCCCTCCTGCCCCCCCCCTCCTGCCCCCCCTCCTCCCTCCTGCCCCCCCCCCCTGCTACCACCTCCTGCCCCCCCTCCTCCCTCCTGCCCCCCCCCTGCTACCACCTCCTGCCCCCCCCTCCTGCTCCACCCCCCTCCTGCCCCCCCTCCCCGCCCACACCTCCACAACGCCGTCACGTGACGCGCGTGCGGAGCCAATGGGCGAGGCGCGTTCGCCTTGTAACGGGCGGCAGCAGCTGTTCGCCGCGAGAGGTTGTGGGAAGAAGCAGCAGCAGCAACAACAACAACGACGCAACAACTTCCACTTTAAAGCCGCCTCGTCGTCAACGAACGTTGAAGAGGTTATTTTTATATTTAATCAAACCTAAGTTTATTGTCGCCGTTGATTAGCGCACGTTACTTTGTCGTCGTTTTAAAACTAAAATAAAACGGAATTCAAGATTCGGTGGCGTTTTTTGTTGGTAAGGGGGAGTAGAGAAGTTGTTGCTCGCGACTTTGAATGTTGACCCTGCGTGTTGTTAATGATTAATTATCGGTTTAACCGCTAATTGTTCTAATTACTGAGTAGTGTGTGTGCACTGCCAACACCGGCGACGATTATCTGAACCGGTCCTGGGCCTCTCCCCCTAGGTCGACTCAGCCTAAAATGAGTTTCCTTTGCGCGGTGTGTTAACGTCGTCAGTGGGAAGACAAAGGCGGCCGGGCGTGGTGCTGGCCACCCACCCCCCTCGTGTGCCGTGTCGGCCTTCATAGGTGCTACTCGCTAACAGCACTTGCCCCAATAGTCTTACAGGCTACACGGGGGACCTTTGTCTTTGTAAATGTGTGGGGAGCGGTGGTGTAGTGGTTAGCGCTATGAGCCACGGCAACCGCAGTTCGATTCCTGCTCACGGCCACCACCACCAGCCCTCTCCCTCTAGGTCGACTCAGCCTCAAATGAGTACCTGGTGCGGTGTGTATAAACATCGCTAGTGGGAAGACAAAGGCGGCCGGGCGTGGTGCTGGCCACCCACCCCCTCCTGTGCCGTGCCGGCCTTCATAGGTGTTCTCTAACAGCACTTGCCCCTACAGTCTGTTACAGGCTACACGGGGGATCTTTATCTTTGTAAATGTGTCAATAAAGTTTAACAAATCTGTTCTCACGCAGGTACCCGATTATAAGACGCACCCCCCCCCCTCACCAACGTTGGCTTTGTACTGCAGTATATACACATGGACACTTCCATTCATTAACGTGTTTTTGTTTTACAGATACGTGTCAATCCACTGCTGGATGAAGGCCTTTCTTCTTCCCCTACTTAGTGTGGATCAGCAGTTTTGTTTCTTGCTGTGGTTGTCCCACCTGATGACGGCTGCTTGTGTTGCGATCGAAACGTCGTGATCTATTCTTTTTCTACCTACGTGACTTTACCGAAAGAACCAAAGAGTATACATATAGGGGATGTGTTTAACCATACTTCACCACGCTGGTCAGTGAGGGTTGGTGAGTAGGAGCGAGTGGGTACAGGGAGCGGGTTCAGATCTCATACGCCACTGATGGTAGCCGGGAGTCGAACCCGTGGCCACTGTGTCTTGTGGGTGGTTATCATTCATTCAAATTTGTCAAAGTTCGTTAGGCCTCAAAGGTTCTTAATAACACCGGGTTCATCAACAGGGTGGTTAAACATCGTGTTGTTTATCTTTCCGCTATCGATAATCGCATGGCATTTTTTATTAGTTCTATATTTTAAAACATCGATTATGGGTGTACAGGTCATATCGTAACAAAGGCCTAAATAGAGAAGGCTGCACAAACGCACAGTATCGCCTCTGATTAACACGGTTGGCTACGTACGGTGCGAAAGAAGTTTAACTTACGTACATAGGGGTCACGCACAGCTGTCCGTTGGAGGGACACAGCTGGACTACAGCAGAGTTGAGTGTTACCTGGGACAGCATGTCGAAATAGGGCACGGGATCAAAGTGATGGATTAACGAGATGGGACGAGAATGGGCCGGAGGCGCTTTCGTGAAAACTGAACTCGATCGTGAAAAGCACCGAAGTCATGCCCCCCCTCACAGAATAACTTTCGTTATCGATGCGTGCTGCATGCTTGTGAGATATGGTTCAGAGACGTGGTGATTCATGGAGAGAATGGAAAAAAATTGAGAAGTGTGCAAAGAAGCAAGGCTAGATGGACTAAATTTTGATTTAAAGCTTTCGTGACTGCAGGGATTCGTCTTCTTGGTTCTTTCGGTAAAGTCACGTCGAAGGGAAATAATAAAATAATAAAAATTAAACAATAAAATTATTCTCACGACGTTTCGGCCACAACGCAAGCAGCCGTCTTCAGGTGAAGAACAGGTCTGTCGGAAAGACAGCGTCTGAATGAATCGCCACATTCAGATGCTGTCTTTCCGACAGACCTGTTCTTCACCTGAGGACGGCTGCTTGCATTGTGGCTGAAACGTCGTGATAATTATTTAATTATGTTTTATTTTTATTATTTCCCTTCTACGTGACTTTACCGAAAGAACCAAGAAGATAGATGGACTGCTTGGAATTACTCAAATAATTCAAACAGTGAATAAAAGTATGTATGTTGAACTTCAAACGTGATTTGCAGCTTTCGTGACAGCAGGAATTACACTTTGGTTCTTTCGATAAAGTCACGTAGAAAGAAAATAAATTAAATAATAGCGTACGACGTTTCGATTGCAACACAAGCAACCGTCATCAGGTAGAACTAAATTTGAGAGAGAGTGTCTCTCTGTGTGTCTGTGTTGTCTCTCTGTGTCTCTCTGTGTGTCTGTTGTGTGTCTCTCTCTGCTTGTGTGTCTCTCTGTGTGTCTATGTTATGTGTCTCTCTCTCTCTGTGTGTGTCTCTGTGTTGTCTCTCTCTGCTTGTGTGTCTGTCTGTGTGTGTCTGTGTTTTGTCTCTCTCAAATTTAGTTCTACCTGATGACGACTGCTTGTGTTGCGATCGAAACGTCGTACTCTATTATTTAATTTATTTTCTTTCTACGTAACTTTACCGAAAGAACCAAAGAGTTTGTTGAACTTCTTTCGCAACGTACGCAGCCAACCGTGCTAATTGGAGGTGCGGAGGGTAGGACAACAAACTAAGAAATGAGTTTTCAATCTAAATTAAAAAGTCCATAGCTCCAGTGGCTTCCTATTATTGGAAGGAAGGGCGTTCCAGACGGACGCAATGGGGATTGCGCAATACACGCTACTGCAGAGCGGTGTTCTTCATTGCAAACTCCTGTGGGCCACTGGCGGCGGCCCCTGGTGGCCTTTAGTGCGGCCCCTGGCGTGCGCCCCCGAATGTGAAAACACCCCATCACAGAGGTCGCAAACGGGTTTTGATTCCTTACCCGTACCCGGCCGCACCAGGGTCGCAAACAGTACCCTACCCGATACCTGGCTACCCGTACCCGATTGCGACCTCTGGGATGAAGCCATGTTGCAGGCGCGGGTGGGTTGATTTTAGGAACTTGAATTGTGAGAAGAGACAAGACGTTGGGAAATGAGTGACAAACGGTGACTCACCAGTGACTCACGGCCTACCCGTACCCGGCCGCACCAGGGACGCAAACGGGTACCCGTACCCGTACCCGGCCGGGTACGGGTAGCCGGGTATTGGGTAGGGTACGGGTATCGGGTACCCGGTTGCGACCTCTGCCCCATCATGCTGTCAAACCCCAATGGTTTCAAATGTGTGGCGGCCCTCACACTGATGATGCCTCATCGTTGAAAGTGCTCTCCCCCCTCCCCCCCCGAAAATCCGTGAAGAGCACTGCTGCAGAGAAACAAGTGATCTCGTCGAGCATTACGTTGCAGCAACGCCGCACGTGCTCACCTTCACAGGCGTTTCTCCTTCCCCGCCCACCAGAAGGGCGATGTCCTGCGGCGGTGGTGGCGGCGGCGATGGCGGCGGCGTCCTGCTGCTCGACTCTGGCGACCCGCTGCTGCGGCTGCAGCGCTCCGAGATGGCGCTGCTGCAAACGACGCAGCAGTGGGCCTGCCGCCGCGTGCAGGCGGAGCGCGACTACGGCGAGGCCCTGATGCAGGCGGGTGCCGTCGTGGGGCACGGCGGGGCTTGCGGAGAGGGTGGCGAGCTGGCGCAGGTGCTACTTGGTTAGGAAGCCAGCAGCACACCTTTGCTGATCTGGTCAAGGAGCGTAAACCATCACCGTGCAAACTCCGGTCATCCTCGCAGCAGCGGCGGCTTTTGGCTGGCCATCGAACAAAGACGGTCACCGAATCGCGCGCTTTCAGATGCGTTGCTGCGGCCGTCTGGAACGCACTTCGGATAGTAGGAAGCCAATGGGAGCTATGCAGTTTTAAATAATCTAGATTGGAAACTAATTTCGTTAGAACTGCTTTTTGCATTTAGTTTGGTGTCCTTCCCACACACCTCCGATTAGAACGGTTGGCTACGTACGGCGCGAAATAAGTTCAACATACATGCATCGTAATAACAATGCACATTCGTAAAGTGGCATATTTCATCCGTAGATCCCAATGTGCCACCGTTGTATGGAAAGCCAGGAAATTAACAGAACGCCCAGAACTAGGCGGGGGGTGGGGGGGTAAAAATCATTTTGAAGAGGTGAGTTTTCAAGATAGACTTGATTAGCGCAAACGACCTATTGATTTTTTGCCAAAGGCAAAGCGCTGTTCCATAGTCTTGGCAAAAAGGCACGATCAGCCCAGCAACAGAGGCTTGACCTCGGGAGTACTTGGAAGGAAATCCGAAGATCCCAGGAAATTTGTTGGAGTGTGAACGCGGATCGGTTCCTGAAAATATTGCGGGGCTAACCCATTGGGAGCGTTATAGGTCAGCAGTAGGAGCTCATAGTGCACGCGATATTTGACTGGTAGCCAGAGGGCAGACAAAGAGAGCAGGTGTGTGATGGTGACGTGCGCTCGTGAAACGGTGTGCGCGTCAGGACTCTGGCAGCTGCATTGTGAGCGAGCTGGAGTCTGTCCAGCACATTACTGGGAATCCTGAAGAGTGATGCGCCATCAGCCATTCCGCGGCTTTGCAGTCATGCCGAGTTCCTTTATTCCTCCGCTATCCAAGACTATCTGCCTCTTTGCTCTCTCACATGCACCTCATAGACAATGGGTGAAAATATTACTTCAATATTACTCTTTTTCCCATTCCGATGACTTACGTGTGCACGTTCACATACGTCATCGGAATGGAATCGGAAGAAAAAATCTAATCAAATAACTTTATCGGTACCGAAGCTCCCACAAGGCCATCCGGGTGGGTGTGTGGCACAGTTTGGTGCCAGCGATCATGCAGTACGGTCATGTCACTACAATCATCTGGGGTGAATAACAGCATCTTTTAAAACAACGGTGCTATGCCACTCTAAATAAAATTAACTCTGAGCCGCGTGCGCGTTCCGAGATTCGGAGATGAACGGGACCCACCCTGCAACTTGCAATCGTCTCGGAATAGGAAACAGTTAAGAGGCAGCTGAAATATATTTTTGAGGTGCTGGAATAAGTTTTCTTAAAAAATGTTCTGACAATTCAACAATGTATATTTTCTACTCTTTATGTTAACCTCTTGTTGTAACAGCTCTCTCGCTGGTTCAGCAGTTCCATTACTGGATTATTTTTTTCTGCCTGAGGACGCCCGCTTGTGTTGCGATCGAAACGTCGTGACTTATATATTTTTTTTATTAACATTTTTCTACCTACGTGACTTTACCGATAGAACCAAAGAGTGTGAATTCCTGCAGTCACGAAAGCTTCAAATCAAGAACATATATTTTAGACAATTGGTCTTCCGTAAATTGACGAGCTCAACGTCGCTCGCCACTAGCAGCGCGGCGTCGAACTCCCGGCGTCGTTTAACTCGGAGCGACGAGAAACCTCATCGCTGAAGGGAACTTACGAGCGCCGCGCCACGCCGCGTGCAACCGGCCCGCAGGTGCTCGCGAGCCTGCTGTCGCAGACGGAGGCACTGGGACAGGCCATGCGGCGCCGCGCGGAGGAGATGAGCTCGGGTCCCATGCGCCGTCTCTCCGAGCTGCTGGGTTCCCAGAGTCGGGCGCACGACGCGTACGCCGGCGCGCGCCGCTCGCTGGAGCGCGAGTTCGAGAAGGTACGGAGCGACGCGGGGGGACGCGGGGGGGGGGAGGCGCGGGGTCGCGATCGCGTGGCGGAGAAACGTTGGCAGATTCACAGTCGTCGCGCTGAGTTCATTGAGTCCGGTGTTCTTCGCTAATTTTCAGAGGGGGGGCCACTTTCGCCGATAAGACATCATCGATTTAAAGCTTTCGTGACTGCAGGGATTCATCTTCTTGGTTCTTTCGGTAAAATCACGTAGAAGGGAAGTAATAAAATAATGACAATAAAACACGTAGAAGGGAAGTAATAAAATAATAAAAATAAAACATAATAAAATTATTATGTTTTATTTTTATTATTACATAATCATTTTATTGTGTTTTATTTTTATTATTTTATTACTTCCCTTCTACGTGACTTTACCGAAAGAACCAAGAAGAAGACATCATCAGCGTGAGGACCGCCAGACCATTTGAAACCACTGGGGTTGGACAGCAGCACGATGATGATGATGATGGCGGGTGTTTTCACACGTGGTGTATTTTTCGGGGGCCGCATGTCAGGGGCCAGACGAAAGGCCAGCAGGGGCCGCCGCCAGCGGCCTGCGGGCCTTGCAATGCGGAACACTGATTTAGTCCGTCGCCATCCCAGCGTAGTTCGCCCCGACTATGTCTGACACGTGGCCCGGCGGGAGCGCGTTGGCCGCTCGTTGGAGAGGTTCGCGGTTAGAGCCCCACGGCCTCCCCGGTTAATGCTGCGGGGATGTATCAACCGTAAAAAAAAATCTGCTGCTTCGCCGTGGACGTCAAAAGGAATCTTGCGACATTGATGGGGAAAATGGTAGGGCTTGTGCGCTGGTGTCGAGGAGAAAATGTAAAAAACTAAAAATTGTACCCGCAATTGACTGGCGAAACATTGCAATTTCGCCCCCTACTGCGAATCTACCGTGCAAAACATAGCGGATTCGTGTCAGCCTCGTGCTATAAGAATACCAAATGTATGAATGATTTGCCGCTTTGATCTTAGTTGCAGTCTTAGCTTAGCCGACGGCGACCCGTGGAAAGTCAACTGGGAGATGCTTAGTTGGGCTCCTTTGCTCAGCTCGCCAACTCTCGCCTTGCAGGTGACCCGCACGGAACTGGAGATGCTGAAGCTGCAGTACAGGCAGCAGGCGGCCGAGCTTAACTGCGCTCGGCAAAAATTGCTGGACGTTTCCTCCAGAGGTCAAAAAGTTCCGCACGATTCACTTCAACACGAAGGTTGGCACGGAAACCTCCCCAGCCAGTGCTCAATTTTTCACCCCAGCCACTCGCTTACAGGCAGTCGGTCGCCTCGTTATCACTCTTCTATCACTACTACCTTGTTTTTTTTTGCTTTAGCGCACTTCACTCGTTGATTGCTTCACCCGTGTTGACTGAATGTTTTGTCCCATCCATTACTGTGTGTTGATCACTCACCCACTCATCTACTCACCCACTGACGCACACACTCAAGCACTCACTGCAGGCTGCAACAACACACTCTCACTCATTCAATCAACCACACTCACCAACTCACTCACCCACTCACCTACTCAATACACTCACAATACGCTCGCTCAACCCACTCACTCATCCACCGCAGGTTACAACACCTTCGCTCTCCGCGTCTCCCCTCGCACTGCTTGACGTGAGAATTCCCAACTCCAACCCCTCGCCCTGACGATCCTCTGACCCCCTGACCGTCCCCGCAGGCCGCGTGGGGGACGGAGAGCTGGAGAGGGCGGAGCGCAAGGTGTCCCGCGCCACGCGCCGCCTGCACTGCGCCCACAACGAGTACGCTCTGGCGGTGCGGGGCGCCCAGCGACACGCTCAGAACCACCGCGACAGCACCCTGCCCTGCCTGCGCGACTCCCTGCAGCTCTCCGCCCACGACAGCCTGCTGCTCCTGTGAGCGCTGTACGCACGCAGACGCACACGCAAAGGCAAAGGTGTCCCCCCCTCCCGTATAGCCTCAACAGATTGTTGGGGCAAGTGCCGTTAGCGAGCAGCGCCTATGAAGGCCGGAACGGCACACGATGGGGTAGGCGTCCAGTACCACGCCCGGCCGCTTTTGTGCTTATTTGAGGCTGAGTAGACCTAGGGGAGGCCCATAACCGATTCAGAATCGAACTCGGATCGCCGGGTTCACAACGCAGTGCGCTAACCCTTGCACTACCGCCTCCCAACATGCGCACGTCTACACGGCTATTCCTCGTGACCACTATGCCCGGCCATGCTGCGTGGCTGTATTGTGCTACTCTGGGGGGTGCCATGCCATGTAATGCTGCATTGTATTTCGTAGCGCTCTGCCGTGTAATGACACGCCATGTAATGCTTTGATATACTATCGTCCAGTGCTATGCCACACTGTGTCGTGGTTTGTCACCGAATGCTATTCTTGGCTTTGTAACGCTATGATTTATTGCATAGTGCGAAGTTATGCAGTGCATTGCTATGCAGTTGCATTGCCTGGGAGTGGAGTGTTGTGTCGGGGGTCGCCAACCTGCGGCTCTGGTGGAGCCATATGCGGCTCTTGACGGGCCGCTTCGTGATGTTATTTGTGAAGGGCCTCACCGGCTCGTATGCACCGCACGGTGCATTTGTCGGCTTTTGATCTCCATTGGTACCTCATTTGCCAGTAAAAAATATGATAATTGGTTTTTTACCCTTTTATCTGGCAACAAAACTGACACCTTTTTTTACAAGGAGTCATGTTTGCATAGACCACAATACCTGCAGTCATAATGCAAACAAAAAACATAACTCTGATAATGTACACTGTCCTTGAAGTTGATTGGTCCACACCCGAGACAGCTTTCCTTAGAGCCTAGTCTCACATGGGTTGGACCAGATGACGCCAAAAGGCGCACAACTCAAAGACAATGCACCATCAGAGTATGAGAGTTCGGGGTAAGCATTTACACCATTGGTACCTCATATTTTTTACTGTTCAGTTTTTTGTTTGATCGAATTCGAAACAAATGGCTCATCTTGTTATTGTGGTCGCCGACGCCTGTGCCATGCCCTACTATGCTGTGCTAGTCTTTACCCCGTTTGCGCTGTGAATGCATGGTCGAGAGAAATTGGTGGGGGAAAAAATGTAAGAGGAGAGATTTATTTACATGGCTATTAAAAGTCGATTACTTTATATCCCCACTTATTTCAAGCAGTTAGCACTTGATTGCTGCTGGACACATGAAGTAATTGGAACCGCTAAAGTCCTGTCACCTCGGATGGTACCGACAAGTGAAACATCTGGTCTGGATGCATATGCTATATAGTATCCCATACGAAGTCCTTATTTAGAATATTAGCAGTAAGCACTCATTTAACGCGGTAGATGCGTTCCTGAAAAGCGCCGTGATAAGACAAAAACGTGTTCGGCGAAAACCATTTCCCCATAAATAACGATCAAGTCTGGCGAGATACGATGTACTACTACTACACGCGCACAGTGAGATGGCGGGACAAATAACCGAGGGTACGACGCCGCATTGCTCTATCATTCCGCTTACTCTATCGTACCGATCAGCTGCGCAGCTCAAGAAAGTAGTTTGTCGTGGGCACGTTCTGCGTTGTAAACGGTGCGCGTTATGTGTTGTAACAATGCGCGTTACCCGTTGTAACGGTGCCCGTTCCACGTTGTAAACGGTGCGCGTTACGCGTTGTAACAATGCGCGTTACCCGTTGTAACGGTGCCGTTCCGCGTTGTAACGGTGCCGTTCCACGTTGTGCAAAAAATGTTCCCTCATGGAAGAACCGCGTTGTGGCGCGAACATCGCGCGTTAAGCGAGGACTTACCGTACACTTTCCCCCGCTGAACTGCCGTGCACTATTATGCCCTGCCATGCTGTACCCCGCTGTGTGCTGCTATGCACTAAGTCCCGCCGTGCCGCGCCACGCAGGAAGGAGGTGCTGCTGGCACTGCTGGAGGCGAGCGTCTCCGCGCAGGACGACGTCGCCGCCGCTCACAGGGAGATGCGCGCCGTGGTGATGGCACTGGAGCCCAAGGACCGGCTTGACCAGGGTCCACGCCTGCACAGGTGGGGGGCACGAGGCTCACGGCTCGGGGCGCGTAGCAGAGGGCATGCGGCGCGGGGCTCCGGGTAAGGGTTGCAGGCATTTGGCATGGGGCATGGGTTACTGGGCATGGGGCATGGGTTACTGGGCATGGGTTACTGGGCATGGGGCATGGGTTACTGGGCATGGGTTACTGGGCATGGGTTACAGGGCAAAGGTTACGAGGCATAGGGCACGGGGCATGGGTCACTGGGTATGGAGCTCGGCATTCAAGACTCGGGGCATGAGGCTCATGGCTTTTAGCACAGAGCTTGGTGCACGGGGCAACCCTGATAACGGGGTGTCTACCCTCTGAGCCACGCGATGGCAGTTCCACGCAGCAGTGGGGTTGACGTGTCTGTGCGGCACCTGTGTGTGTATGTGTAAGGCACGGGAGCCCACTGACGGTGAACTTTGACCTGTCCCTCCCGGCGGAGCAGGAGGGCCTGCAGCCCGAGCAGCTGGTATGCACGCCCCACACGGCGGACGGCCTTCAGCACCGGTGAGTAGTCCACCTCTTGGTCGGCTCAGCCTTGAAAGTTTGTCGGGCATACAGCTCGCGACACGGCTCTTCGGGGCGCGGTGAGGGGGCCCAGCGGTCGTTGCAAAAGGTTCGCCGTTCGAATCCGCCAGGCAGTCCTGGTCAATACCGCGCTTGCGTCAACCGTTAAATACACGTCGTCCAATTCACAGTGGACGTTAAAGATCTCGTGATGTCATTTGGGGCAGCGTAGGAGGGGCGAGCGGCTAACTCTGTGATGTCACGGCCATCGCTGGCGTGGTTGAACTGCGGCCCAGTTGGTCCACTTTTGGGCGGACGAACCACTGGTAGCCAGCGCGCTTTTACGGCAGATCCTCCGATTGTCTCGGTCTCCTTGCCAACGGATCCAGGTTCTGTCCTGATTAAGAATTGTGTGCGGAAACTGGCGTGCAACAGTGTCCTCGTGTTAATCTGCGTCCTCCATGGAAAAGGAAATGTTAAAAGATATTTGGTTCCCGGATTGGCCGCATCAGCCACCTGCGTACGCACAAACCCTGACAATCATTGCTGTCCACGGAGGACCACCACACTCGACCTCAAGGGACCCCAGATGATGGTGAAGGCCATGGACTGGGGCCACGTATGTAATGGGTTCCGGAGACACTTCTTGAAGGGCACGTCTTTATTTCCACACACCACGTATTTATACACTGATTTCCCAGCCTATTCACGTATGTCTCCTACACAGCTTATCTACGTAGCATGCCTAGCCTCGTCTACATTCTCAGGTCCTCCGGCTATGATTACCCTAGGGGAGGCTACCTGACCCGACCCAGCCAAGGTGCGAGTCTAGACCACTGGCTTCCTCGCACCTCGCCCTTACAAGGGCGTCGGGCCGTGAGTCCCAGAGTCCCACCACTGGCCCGCACAGCGCCCCCGGCCCTTACAAGGACGTCGGGCCGGGAGTCCCAGAGTCCCACCACTGGCCCGCATAGCGCCCCCCGGCCCTTACAAGGCCGTCAGGCCGGGAGTCCCAGAGTCCCACCACTGGCCCGCACAGCGCCCCGGCCCTTACAAGGATGTCGTGCCGGGAGTCCCAGAGTCCCACCACTGGCCCGCACAGCGCCCCGGCCTTTACAAGGATGTCGTGCCGGGAGTCCCAGAGTCCCACCACTGGCCCGCACAGCGTCCCAGCCCTTACAAGGACGTCAAGCCGGGAGTCCCAGAGTCCCACCACTGGCCCGCACAGCGTCCCAGCCCTTACAAGGACGTCGGGCCGGGAGTCCCAGAGTCCCACCACTGGCCCGCATAGCGCCCCCCGGCCCTTACAAGGACGTCGGGCCGGGAGTCCCAGGGTCCCACCACTGGCCCGCACAGCGTCCCAGCCCTTACAAGGCCGTCAAGCCGGGAGTCCCAGAGTCCCACCACTGGCCCGCACAGCCCCCCGGCCCTTACAAGGGCGTCGAGCCGGGAGTCCCAGAGTCCCACCACTGGCCCGCACAGCCCCCCGGCCCTTACAAGGGCGTCGAGCCGGGAGTCCCAGAGTCCCACCACTGGCCCGCACAGCGCCCCCGGCCCTTACAAGGGCGTCGAGCCGGGAGTCCCAGAGTCCCACCACTGGCCCGCACAGCGCCCCCGGCCCTTACAAGGGCGTCGAGCCGAGAGTCCCAGAGTCTCACCACTGGCCCGCACAGCGCCCCGGCCCTTACAAGGGCGTCGAGCCGGGAGTCCCAGAGTCCCACCACTGGCCCGCACAGCCCCCCGGCCCTTACAAGGACAGCGGGGCATTTTGGTCCAGGGTACTAGGCTGACCGATCTACTTGCTTCGGTCTCCAACTGGACATGAGCTACTGGGGAGGGGTCCCCCTTGATGCACCTTTCCATCGAGGGGCGGGGCTGCATGGGATCCTGGAACCCCCGCAGCCCCTCCCCCTCTTGGGCTGGGCAATGCAGCCCCTCCCCTGGCGGTACGAGGTACCGCCCTTGATGGGCCCTGTCCACCGTTGCAGATAAGTGCAGCCCATCTACGGTGCTACACGTATAATAGGATTTACGGGGCGAGAGGGCCGAGGATGAGAGGGATGTGACCCTAATGTAGTTATTGCTTGATTGTGTCTGCAGCTTGCAAGAGATTACCGACGACCTGCACAAGATGAGGGCTGTTCTGTCGCATCACAAAGAGAAGATGCGCGGATTGGAATGCGAGGTCGTGGAAATGGCAGCGTCGCAGAATTGCCGAACCTCGTGAGTGTGCGGAGGAGAAGGTTCAGTACCGAATGCGATCACACAAGTACAACCCCAATGTGTGTTCACATATAGCAGCGTCTAAATGTGGCCACATCTCAAGCCGCTGTGAAGACACAGTGCGCTTGATGATGTTGGAGAGAGTGAGATACCGCCGACTCACGACACTTGAGAACTTGGTTTAATCACAAATCGGTCTACGTGAGTCTCTGGATCTCTGTATGAGTCACTGGTCACCCCGTAGACTTGAGAACCCGGCGTAATCACAGGCGGTCGCCCGGATTTCAAACCAGGATTTCAGTGGTGGCGGCTCAGCACTTTATGGGTGGTTAAAACGCAGCAAGTTGGCAGAGTGGGGAGCTTGGGTGGTGCATCTGCCAGTCATCTCAGTCAATCAACCCATGGCTCCTGCGTCTGTCCTGTGACCTCCTGCCAGCGACACTTCACGCGGCTTCTGAACGAGCCTAGCCTGACACGAGCGCCGTGGCGATGTCACCGCCGCCTTGTGGCGAACGGCTGCCGTTGTGTTTTTTTTTTTTGCGATGCGTGAGCCCCGACAGCGTCACGCTGCTCGGAAAGAAGCACGAGTTGCAGGCGCTGTGGCTGCGCAAGTACGAGCTGCAGGGCGCCGAGATGCAACTCTCGGCGCAGAAGGAGATGCTGGAGCAAGCGCTGGCTGGGATGGGCGACGTGGACCCCACGTGCGCCACCTTCACTCTGCCCCCTCTCGCCGCCGACAACGACAAGAAGAGCCCGGTGGTAAAGCGCTGCGGGTCCCCTCTTGTGTGTCCATCGCGAATCTTACGCGAGAAGAAGTACGGAGCGCGTGTATATATTGTGCACGATCGCGAAGCGAGTTTTAACTCGGGCGTAGTTATGTTAACCGATTAGGACTGACAACGTTGGTCCTAGTTTGACGTTGTACTGTGATTCATGAGCAGTTCCCCGCTCCCTGGCCTTTACCAATCCACCCTGACCAGCACGGTGAAGTGTTATCAAATACCGCATTCTCCAAAATATAAACGATGCACTTTTTCCCCGCCTCACATTTAAAAGAAAAAGCTGGGAGTTGTGTGTGTTTGTGACCAGATTTGTATAACTTCATTGACACCAGGCACAGGTTTCTTTGGGTGCATCTTACTTTCTAGAGCATCTCACAATCAAGAAAATACAGTGACGCCTCCTCCACCATGATCCTCATCCGCACTGACCAACGGGGCGAAGTATGGTCAAACAACCCCCCTGATTGACACGACACAGGGGGAAGGCCGTCGTCCAATAGTAGATGGACAACAGAGTGTGCACGTGTGCGTGTTGGTGTCTCTGATGCTCTCGTGTCTCCTCCCGTGTCTCTGACGTGAACACGTCTCCCCCCGTGTCTCTGACGCGGTCACGTCTCCTCCCGTGTCTCTGACGCGGTCATGTCTCCCCCCGTGTCTCTGACACGGTCACATCTCCCTACATGTCTCTGACGCTGTCGTGTCTCCCCCCATGTCTCTGACACGGTCACGTCTCCCTCCGTGCATCCGCCGCCGCTGCGCAGCCCGCGTGGAGCTCCGCGCGGCCTCTGGCGCAGCAGGACTGGTTCCACGGCTCCATCTCCCGCCTGGAGGCCCAGGAGCTGCTGATGGGCGAGGGCAGTTTCCTGGTTCGCGAGAGCCACGGGAAGCCGGGGCAGTTTGCGCTGTCGGTTTGCAGCGGCGGCGCCTGTCGCCACTTCATCATCCAGACCGTGGAGGCAAGCGCGACATCGGGGCCCCCCGCCACGGCAATGTGGAATTTCCAACATCGGTGGATGGGAACCAGAGGCGCACCCCACCCCCCCCCCCCGCCCCCCATTGCTCGTTTCATCAGAGAGACTGATTCATGCACGGTGGCACCATCATTGTTATGGTCAGCCATGATCTATTGACTGCCGGATGAAGACTTTCCCATTACTTGTGCCATAACGGCACACTTTTCTGTAACTTTCATCATCACCATCACGATAGGCCGTAGGTCTCCACTGGACATGTTTTCATTTGTTTCCACTTTAAAGCCTTTGTCATTAACAGAGCTTCAAGTTTGTCTAGGACAGCCTCACCCTTGAGGTATCTCCTAGATAAGAGCCCGTTTGTTGGTTGAGTCTTGCGTTAAACAGCAGCAATGCCATTTGGAGTTTAAGTAATAACTGCAAATGTGGCACCGCCCAGATCTTGGGTTCGAATTGAGGCAATAGTGTGGCTTTAAACTGATGGTCTCTGGGAGTTCACCAATGAAATGCACAAGAGAAAATCACAGTAAATTTTGGTTCTGCAGCCCTGAAAATGTGTAATATATCTGTACGATTGTCACGTGATGGGCAATACTTTTTTTATGACAGATCGGGTGGGAAAGTGCTGTGCCATCGACTGCGGTGGCGCCAATGTCACTTGAAGTGATCACACAGGCAGCTCTGTGATATCCACTTCCGTGGGCTGTCCTCTAACATGAAGGGCCGTGCTGCTGTGCTAGAGATCCGACTGATATTCGCCCTCTCATCGCATGACACCGATAGCACAACTGGGATAAATCTTGTAGAAAAAATAAAGACATCCGCTCACAAATGATGTGATCTATGGTCGGTGGGTGCAACAAGAAATGTGTCGGTTTACTTGGTTACCCGCCTGCCGATCGCAATACTTGCCGACTTGCCTACCTACCCACATACCGACATAATTAAATTATAAAAAAAAATTGCAGTAAAACAATCCATATTTTTTTTGGGGGTTAGGCCACATGGTATGCAGTTGTATGCTACCAGTCATTGTTAAATTTAGTCACGAAAAGTCTCAAGCCACTTAAAGGAGCTTTAATAATTAAAAATTGTCATCAGTGCATTGGGCACGGTCTGATTAATACCTTTGTGAACTTGGCAGTCTGGTCGGTTGGTAGCGGGTTGACGACGAAAACTTTTGGTGTTTAAATAAATATTGTTTTGTTATTTCCCCGCAGAACCTGTATCGCTTCGAGGGCAAAACGTTCCCCACGATTCCAGGGCTTATGGAGCACTACCTGTGCACCCGGCAGCCCATCACCAAAAAGTCGGGCGTCATCCTCGGACACCCGTGCCTGAAGGCAAGGATGCCGGCCACGTGTGTGTTATATAATAGGATCATTATTATTATGATGTTGTATTCCCCTGATAATAAACAGGGTGGTCTAAATGCAAGGCTCAGTTATATTGAAATAACCCTTGTGAGTGAAATGAAAACCCAACAACAACAAACAACAGCCGCTGTTTGTCACTATGCGGCGGTGATGTCACCACAGCGCTTGTGCCAGGCTGGGTGCACCTCTTGTGCCATCCGTCATAGGTGTTCGTTAACAGCACTTGTCCCAACAGCTTGTTAAGGCTATACAGGGGATATTTGTCTTTGCACCTTGAGCCACGTGAGGTGTCAAAAACGCGCTGACAGGTCCCTGGACAGACCCAGGTGTTATGGCTTGACTCACTGAGATGACTGGCAGAAGCACCACCTGTGCTCCCTACTTTGCCAACTTGAAAAGCCAGGGCACCCATAACACAGACACCTCCTCCGCATCTTGCAACAGACGCTGCTGCCTGTACAAACATTGCGTGAATTTAAACAAAAACCGAAGTGTGACTTACAACGAAAAGTGCATGCAAATCGTCCAGATCGCACGTACCTTAATAAGTATTACCAGAATACAGTAGATCAGTGTTCTGCACTAATTTTCAGAGGGGGGGGGGGGGGTGAATTTGCGCCGATAAGACATTAGTGTGAGGACCGCCACACATTTGAAACCATTGGGGCTTGACAACATGGTCTGGGTGTTTTCACATGTTGCGTGTTGATTATAGTTTTTTTACCCTTCTATCTGGCAACAAAACTGACACCTTTTTTACGAGGAGTCATGTTTGCATAGACCACAATACCTGCAGTCATAATGGCCGGGTAGAGTACGGGTACGGCCGGGTACGGGTACCCGTTTGCGACCCTGGTGCGGCCGGGTACGGGTAAGGAATCAAAACCCGTTTGCGACCTCTGAAACACACCCACCGTCTCTGTACGGCGCGTTGAGACGCGGTGGCATTCAGACGCCGCTGTATAAATCCACACTGCGATTGTAAATCGATTTTAAGTCGATGGATCGATGCATCGGTAGACGGCTGATCGTTACTCTACCCCCCCCCCACACCCCTGGTCCCTGACAAAACGAGGGGGAATGATGCTTCACCCCGCGCAGGATAAGTGGCTGCTGGAGCACGATGATATCATCCTGGGAGAGAAGCTGGGCAAGGTGAGCGGTTTGCTGTCCACGCGTCGTCCCGCACATGGGGAGCGGTGGCGCAGCGGTTAGCGCGCTTTTGCTATGAACCCGGCGACCCGAGTACAATTCCCCACTCACGGTCAACACCGGTGACGATTGTCTGAACCGGTTCCGGGCTTCCCCTAGGTCAACTTAGCCTCAAATGAGTACCTGTTGCGGTGTGTAAACATTGCCACTGGGGAGATGAGGACGGCAGGGCGTGGTGCTAGCCTCCCAACCCCTCGTGTGCCGTGCCGGCCTTCATAGGTGCTCGCAAGTAGCACTTGCCCCAACAGTTTGTTCAAGGCTATACGAGGGATCTTTGGATAATCCTTGAGGGTTGATGGTGATCTACAGCTCCAGAAAGGCTCAGCACCACTGGTTTATCGAATAATATATAATGTAGATATAGAGTGGATCACATCATCTCCTTGGCCTGTCTATGTATGTGCTACGAAGAAGGTCCATTGCCCGAAACGTCACCCATTATACATTTTTCCTTTTAAGGCCACGGTGTTATTGACGAATGTTGCGTTTCTTCGATAATTGTGCTTGTGCACGACTGCCAACGCAACATCAGCTGCTGCAGCAGCAGCAACATAACCAAGTAATCCGTTTATGGAATGAAACGCTGTCCTCGAAAGTGTTTAATTATCAGCATGGGTGTCGCAAGTTCCGGCGAGCCACAGACGTGCACGTGACCCCGCAGGGAAACTTCGGAGAGGTGTACGCCGGTCGCCTGAAGGCCTCAGGGGTCCACGTGGCCGTCAAGGCGTGCCATGAGAACCTGTCGCAGGACCTCAAGAACCGGTTCCTCATGGAGGCCAGGTGAGGACCGACGGTGCGTGGCAGAGAGACGGAGTGCGCGCACGCGGGCAAGGGGCTAAGGGATGTAGTCCATTGTGGTGAAAAGGAGGGCAGTTAGCGGCCTCGGCAATGCGTAGTTATTTCTCTTTGGTCCCCTCGGATGTGCAGTGCGCTTGGTCCGTCATCAATCCATCATCCTTGATCCGTCGATCAGCAACATCAATTCATCGAATCAACCATAATGAAATGTCCATCGACCCATCATAATCATCGATCTTCGCCATTGTCCCGAGGCTGTGGTATGAATTGTAAATTTAACACGTAGGCTTTCACAACCAATATTATTCATAATCAACGTTTTTGGGTTTAGATCGCGTTATTTATAAATGTGTCGTAACCCTCCACCACCCGACACGGCCAAACAGTAAAAAAGTGTCACGTTGACAAAAGACAAATAGGTCACTGCAGAACCTCACCATTCTGGCGAATTGCCCGATGATGCTGGATGCAATTACCAGCGAAACGTCGTACTAAAAAATTGTAAATGTTGTGGTTTCACGCTTCAACACACCGGTGGGCTAAAGCAGTGAACTATTTGTCTTTTGTCAACGTGACACTTTTTTACTGATTGGCCGTGTCGGGTGGTGGAGGGTTACGACACATTTATAAATAACGCGATCTAAACCCAAAAATGTTGATTATGAATGAATTGTAAATGTTGAGCGCGCGCTCGCCTAACGCGTGGAGGTTGCCGTCGTGCGGTGCAGGATCCTGAAGCGGTACAACCACCCCAACGTCGTGCGACTCATCGGCGTGTGCACACGGAGGACTCCCATCTACATCGTCATGGAACTCGTGAGAGGCAGGTGGCGGCATTCAGAGAGGAGCGTCCCCACACGCTCCACCTCCTCGCCCCGGACGTTATCCACAGCAGCCACGTCGGAGACCCGGAGACGGCCGGGGTATCGTGCGTAGGCCCTGGGAGCGTTGTACCCGATGACCAGAGTTCGGTTCCCCACTCAAAGTCAACACCGGTGACGATTATCTGAACCGGACCCGTGGTGCTGGCCACCCCCACCCCCTCGCGTGCCGTGCTGGCCTTCATAGGTGCTCGCTAACGGCGCTTTCCCCAACAGTCTGTTGAGGCTATACGGTATGAGCGTCTCCCTCTGTGGTCTACAGTGGCCGTCTTGGGTGAGTTGTGCTCATCTCATGTTTACATCCCTGAGCCAGTGTCGGAAAAACACCGCGCCACTCGGACGGGTTCTTTCGTTCTCGCGTCTGCAACGACAGCGATGACCGGACGTGAATGTGTGTGCGCACAGGTGGAGATTTCCTGACGTTTTTGCGGAAGGAGGGCAGTCGGCTGTCCGTACCACAGCTGCTGAATTACAGCGAGCAGGCAGCTGCAGGAATGGCTTACCTGGAAAGCCACAACTGCATACACAGGTGTGTATTGTTGTCTAGACAGGAGGCTGGTAAGGGAATGTTCGAAACTAAAACTGAACTATTTTTAGTTTACCAGGTAAGGTCCCCGCGCCTGGTATGCAGGAGGTCGTGGGGTCGATTCAGACCCTGACGCTTATTGCTTTGGGGTTTGCATGTTCTCCCCGTGGTCACGTGGATTTTTCTCCGGTTTTTCCCTCCACATTTAGAAACATGCCTATAGAGTGTTTGGCTGCTATAAATTTCCACATCATAAGCCACTTGGTTGAGCTATAATTTGTGGTCAGGTCGCTTCTGAAAAAGAGCGATATAGCTCAGTGGGCCTCGCCTGGTCAAATAAAAATAGTTTCAGTTTGATTTTCGATTTAAAGCTTTCGTGACTGCAGGGATTCATCTTGGTTCTTTCGGTAAAGTCACGTAGAAGGGAAATAATAAAATAATAATAAAACATTAAATAATCCTCAGGACGGCTGCTTGCGTTGTAGCGGAAATGTCGTGAGAATTATTTTATTATGTTTATTTTTTTTATTTTATTATTTCCCTTCTACGTGACTTTACCGAAAGAACCAAGAAGAGTTTCAGTTTGGTTTATATCGGAGCTGGTGCTGCGGCAGTAAGCGCCATTTGTGGTGTGTTGTGTGGCGGGGCGGGGGGGGCGGCTGCGTCATGGTGACAGGGACTTGGCTGCCAGGAACTGCTTGGTAGGCGAGGGCAGCGTGCTGAAGATCAGCGACTTCGGCATGTCCCGGCATCAGGCGGACGGTGTCTATTTGGCGTCAGGCGTCATGAGACAAATCCCCATCAAGTGGACGGCGCCGGAGGCGCTGCATTACGGTACCAGCGCCATCATCAGCAAACGAATGGACGGGCGTTTTTCCGTCTTTTACGAATGTTTTTTACATGTCCACGTGTCCTCATCCTGTGATTTAACCCCCGGTGTGAAGGCACATACACGACCATGAGCGACGTGTGGAGCTACGGCATTCTGCTGTGGGAAATCTTCAGCCTGGGCAGCTCCCCATACCCGGGCTGGTCCAACAAGATGGCGTGCGAGCAGGTGGCCAGCGGTGAGTGGAGGCGCAGTGGTTAGCGCACTGTGCTACGAACCCGAAAACCAGAGCTCCATTTACTCTTACGGCCACTATTGGTGACGAATACCCGAAACCGACTGTCCTCCCGCGATTTAAAGCTTTCGTGACTGCAGGGATTCATCTTCTTGGTTCTTTCGGTAAAGTCACGTAGAAGGGAAATAATAAAATAATAAAAATAAAACATAATTAAATACTACCCCTATCCCCTCCCTTTGATGCTGCTAATCCTGCATAATGCACGGGCATAATATGACTTTGAAACCCCCCGCCAACCTCCTACGCATTTCACAAGTACAGTAGTACTAATCACATACCTGCATTTCCCATAAATATGCTAAATTCCTCTTGATATGCAAATTATTTTGTCAAGGCGCCCTTCCCCCCTTCCAACTCAGCTTAAATATATGCTCCAAGCGTGGTGGTGTTTCATTCAGACGCTGTCTCCCCGACAGACCTGGTTTTATTATTTTATTATTTCCCTTCTACGTGACTTTTATTTTATTATTTCCCTTCTACATGACTTTACCGAAAGAACCAAGAAGATGTCCTCCCGCGCTTGATGATTTATAATTGATGATTTTGACGATGGATTGATGATGATGATGATGACGACGACGATGCTCCTCGGCACACTGCAGGCTATCGGATGCCACCCCCAGCAGTCTGCCCGAACGGCATCTACAGCCTCATGCTGCGGTGCTGGGAGTTCCACGCGGAGCAGCGGCCCACGTTCACGGAGCTGCACCGCGAGCTCTCGCTCATCAACCGCAAACACCACCAACACCACCATCCACAACACCAGCAACAGCAGCATCCATACCAATAGCAGCAGCAGAAAGTGTAACAGCACCAATATCAATAATCACCTGCAGTATTTCCAATACGAGCAGCAGCACAGGCGCCAGCGTCAGCAGTACTAACAACATCGGCACCCGCAGCACAGTATAGTGCCTAAGTCAGTTCTCTAAGCAGCAACGGCATTCAGTTTTTAAACAGATCCTCACGTTTCACATGAAGAATAATGCACATTTACCACACCAGATAGCGACAACATTCGAGAAGTGGTTGGGAGTTTATAATAGCCATGTTGGGGGCAGCACCACTGAGTTCCTGGGATCAAGTCTGGAATTAGACCACCTGTGTAATGAAACTAATTCGTCAGGTTTAGGGAGGCAGTGATCTCAGCCTGGTCACCGATGATTGTACGAAAAAAGGTATGGGCACACTGGCAGACAATTTGAGATTAATGTGTTTTTTTAGTCCTGTGTAATCCACTAATTCAGTCTCTGAATCTCTGTCAAAATAAAGTTAAGGCATGTGAGCTGTGAGTTATTATAATGGGCATAGCTGTATTGTTACTGAGGGGGCCTATTTATACAATGGCTTATCTATTCACTGGAGCAGTAATTGTATGGGCATACATTTAGCACTAAACATACATTTTAATTTTTATTGTATATTTGAGATTATACTATTTATCCCCGTTTTGATGCAGATTTTATTTTTAATAAAATCAAACTGGAAAATATAGGCCGAGTTAAATATTTTATTCGGTTTGGTGTTTTGGCGATACGTTTTGGTTCATGTGTAGATATAACTGCTCAACCAAAGTTATAAATGCTCTGTTACCTGCATTGTCTTTGTTCGCTTTTTGGCGTTCTTTGGTCTGACACTGTTGGTGTAGGTCACTTTCAAAGACAATGCATATATTTCGGTTGCACGTCGTATGGACTTGACAACTCCTGTACAAGAATACATGGTAAACCGTGTGGGTTGTTGACACGGTATGAATCTCAACTTTCATCCCACAGAGTCCCATCATGAGCAAGAAACAGAGACACATTTTTCGATTTAAAGCTTTCGTGACTGCAGGGATTCATCTTCTTGGTTCTTTCGGTAAAGTCACGTAGATGGGAGAAAATAATAAAAAGAAAACATAATAAACTAATATTTAATTATTATGTTTAATTAATAAACTTATTTTATTATCTCCCTTCTACGTGACTACCGAAAGAACCAAGAAAATACATATATTATCTGAGCATATATTTGTTTGCATGTTCTACCACAATAACGTGTGGTTAATGCAGACTTGATTCCTATTTGGTGTTTGAACAACCTAACACCTGTTTCATTACCAAAAAGGGTAAGAACCTATTTTATTCTTCAGGCCAATTTGGCTGCATCAGTCTCAAGTAAGGGCACCGCAACTTAAATAACAAGAAGGGCCATTTTTTCGAATTTGGTCAAAATAAAAATGAAAACAAAAAACATGTCAATATTTCAATAGCCGCAATGCACTTGTGTGGTGAACACGAGATGGGGTGGTCCAATCGTAAATAACGTCACGAAGCAGTGATTCAAAGAGCGACAGCCTGGACTGAATGTCCACGTGGTTTGCTGCCCTCTGGCGGTAACAGCGGACCGTGCCACCGCTTTTCTCTCTTAGTAGAGGCAAATTTAAATGTCGCTGGTAAATGACGCTTAAAATCACGATTTATTTAGGGCTGGGTTTAACGCAACAAAAGCAACTATCTGTTGAATATAGAATCGACGTGACGGTTTAAATCGAGCGTAGTTCGAGTTCTCTCCGGTCATTCGATTGCTTAAATTTATTTGTTGCATGTGGTAATGGGCAATTGACTAATGGAACATGTTACATCTTTGGACACGTGTAAAATGTGATTATTGCTCAGCAAAATTATTTAAAGGGGTTCTAAAGCGATGTAAAAAAAGCATACCCCCACCAGACTCAAGTAGAACTACTTTAATAAACAAAACAAACCAAAAAATCCTGCCGAAACCCGGGATTGAACCAGGGACCTTTAGATCTTCAGTCTAACGCTCTCCCAACTGAGCTATTTCGGCAGATGATGTCCACCACTGTCCCGGAACCACTTTTATAACCACCGACATCTCCCCCCCCCCACTCCCTCTCCTTGCTACACTTCAACGATTGCAGTTGTTCGAGCAACTGAAGGGGGGTGTGGTAGCGTGGATTTATTGTCCAATTGTTGGTGGTAGCAACGTAAGTACAGCCGTTCAATTGTCTCGTGGGAACTTCGCTTGCGTCGTTTTTAGTTTTTTTACCACTGCGGAGTTTGCGAGTGGCGCGATTCCAATTCACAGATTTCGCGGTGATCAAACGTCGAACGAATACATTTATATTTACACACACACACATATATTTGATACATCTGTCGCTCGTTTGTCGGCTTTCCGTGGCGACGAGGTGAGTGGTTCCGAGTGGAGGGTCTCGCCCGACGAGAAGTCCCCCGCGCGGCGCGGGGTAGGAAATTAGGCGAGTCCGAGGCTTCCCTCGGGCCCTCTCGGTCATCTTCGCGGGGCGAATGAGCGGGAAACTTTAAGCCTCTAAATTCATTAACGTTGACACTTGGCCGCTTATAAATCTCACGACGTTGTCACCCCTTTAAACGCTAAAAGCTGAGAATATTAAAGCTGCTTTTATCCGGGCTCCGTGAGCCAAGGACGTGAAGTATTTTTTGCTAAAATTCGCTTAATCGGGCTTTACGAACCTCAAATGTCTCGAGGCTTTATTAATGGTTTTTATTTCGATTTGGATGTTTGTTCAGCTCTTTGTTTCTTGTATGGGAAGGAAACCAAGAGAAGCCCCACACGCATACGTTGGGATAATGCTGGAATATCCGCACAGATGGGTTGATGGGTTTTCGGTAAAGCCACGTAGGTTAAAAATAAATAAAAATAATAGAAATGTAATTTTTTAAAATTTCTATTATTTCTATTATTTTTTTATTATTATTTATGTTTTACCTACGTGACTGTATGAATCCTTGCAGTCACGAAAGCTTCAAATCTAGAATTGATGGACCCACTTGCTATGCTGCCACGTGTGCGATTCCAAGCCAAGCAGGCACGGGGCACACATTGCAAAGATGTCAGTAATTCTTGGACTTTTAAGTCGTCCCCAAAATGTTTCCGTCTCGAATAGTATCGTTTCACAGCGATCCATCTAACTCCTGCACGCATGCAGATTTCATTTCTTCATATGCTGAACATCTGTGCAAAAGAGCTTTATTGCTCATCGGATTTCTCCAGTATGAATACATATTGTGATGTCGCTCCACTCTCCATCACTGCCCATCTTTCCTCCTAGCGACGGTGTTCAAGCCAAGCCCATTGACGGGTTTTCATACGTGAGAACGTCGTGAGAATTGTATTTTATTGTTTTATTTTATCTATTTTATTATTTCCCTTCTACGTGACTTTACCGAAAGAACCAAGAAGATGAATCCCTGCAGTCACGAAAGCTTTAAATCGAAAAATTTGTCTCTGTTTCTTGCTCATGATGGGACTCTGTAGGATGAAAGTTGAGATTGATACCGTGTCAACAAACCCACACGGTTTACCACGTATTCTTGTATGGGAGTTTTTAGGTCCATACGACGTGCAGCCGTTTCATTACGGGGCGGAACATTGTTTCTGTTTCTTGATCATGATGGGACTCTGTAGGATGAAAGTTGAGATTCATACCGTGTCAACAACCCACACGGTTTACCACATATTCTTGTACAGGAGTTTTTAGGTCCATACGACGTGCAGCCGTTTCATTACGGGCAAACATTGGTTGTCTCTGTGTCTTGCTCGTGATGGGACTCTGTAGGATGAAAGTTGAGATTTACAAGGGACACGGGGTGACCAATGAGATCAGAATTGGTCTGTAATAATGTAGGGCACTGATAAGGGCTTGACAGCTATGGGGTTTAACAGTCAATATGCACAAACATGGAGAAGTGCATGCCGGGAATTCCATTGAGAGAATAAGATGGAGAACATATGAAAGTTATAGGCTTCGTGTAGGACATTTTTAAACAAATTTTTCTTTTACAAATGGAACAAATATAACACCTTGGGAGTCAACGTTGTCATTGTTTGTGTGGAGCAACCGAGGACGGTTGTGAAAGTGCGCACCATTGACTGCTGCCTTTTAATTCCTCCGCTTGCTAGGGTCGACGACATGGATAAGGGCAAGAGGAGAAGGCGTCGTGAGATGACGGAGGAGCAGAAGCAGGAGATCCAGGAGGCGTTCGAGTTGTTTGACACCGACAAAGACGGAGCCATTGACTATCACGAGCTCAAGGCAAGCGTGTGGATGCTGTGAAGCCAAACAGCGTGCATCTCTACAGTGAAGGGATTCTGTCAGTCTTAAGTCGATGGGTCAGTTCCACGAATTAAGAAACCCCACAGAGGCAGAACTAGAAACTTCCCAAGGTTGGGAGGCGCTCCTGGTATTTCAAGCCCAGTGGCATCGATGATGCGCTATGCACAACGTGACCTTTGACAGAGGTAAAACACTGAACGAATGATTTCTCCATCCTAATCTTATTAGTTATTGAGAATCTCTAAACTTTGTCCCCCGTTCTCATAGTTTGAGTTAAGAGTGGGTAACGTTTGCAATATTCGGACAAATCCAGGTGACACATGGGGGGTAAATTAATCTTCTGGAGGGACTTTTCGTTAGCCTTATCTTGTTTTATAGGGGTATTAGATCTCACCACCACCAAGACCAGCATTGTGCTAATGCCTTGATGTTTTTGGTATCTGTCCTTGCAGGTGGCAATCCGAGCTCTGGGCTTCGAGGTGAGCAAGGCGGACGTGATTAAGATCATGAAGGACTACGACAGGGAAGACACGGGAAAGATCAGCTACGATGACTTCTGTGAAGTCAGTGAGTGCCCACCTTTATTTTGTTCAACGACATGCAGAAGCAACCTTACGATACAGTGTCGAGGAAACATCAAACCAGAGCGAATGCGGAAGTTGAAATCTGATAGTCAAAATGAAAAATAATCCCATTCAGTCCTGAATTCCGGTTTGCAGGACTGAGTGCTGACACTGCAAATTATTAGTGTGTGAGCGTTTTGGTTCACATGCATTCGAACGAGTGCGTGAGTGGGAATGTGAGTAAATGGATGGTTCAGTGGGTGAATGCACGTGTGTTAGTGAGTGTGTGACAGTACGCGACTGGGTGAGTAAACAGATGAGTAAATTCTTGTGCAAGTGTAAGTACATAGGTGTGTGAGCAAGTGAGTTGTGAGTACTGGTCGATTGATGAATGCGCGGGTGAGTAAATGCTTGAGTGAATTAATTAATCATTGAGTGAGTTGACAAGTGAGCGAGCAAGCGTGTAATTATGCGAGTTGATTAAATTAATGGGTGAGTGAGACATTTAAGTGGACGAGTGAAGCAAGGAAGCAATGAGTGAGCAGGTGGTGTGCACCCGACTTGAGCACGCGCGTGTGCCCGTGCCGCAGTGACGGAGCGCGTGCTGGAGCGCGACCCACTGGACGAGGTGCTCAAGGCGTTCCGACTGTTCGACGAGGGCGATTCGGGCCGCATCGGCGTGCGTGACCTGCGCCGCGTGGCGCGCGAGCTTGGGGAGACCGTCTCCGACGAGGAGCTGCGTGCCATGATCGACGAGTTTGACACGGACGGCGACGGAGAGAGTGAGCGGGCGAGAAGCCTCCCTCCAAAAATTATTTCACGCACGTAGTCGTCAGAACACTTTGCAGTCGGATTTTGATCGTGTTTATTGTTTCATATATCCAAAGACGGCCACACGATGAACTTAATAGTTTCGTCCGCTTAATCTGCCTACTCTCAACAAAGGCCACATTTGGCGAACAATGAGATTGAACCCAGGTCCTTATTGCTGCGAGGCACAGGCGTTACCAATTGCCACACTGATGATGCATTGCTGTGTCCAGCAGCCTTAAGCAGACGGCATCATTTAACTTGAGACATAATTACGTGATGCTAAACGCATCACTAGATTACATGAACCGGAAGCAAATTAGACAATTACTCTTGTTGAAACCTTTAGTGGCAGTGAGGCATTTAAAATGCTAATGTTCCAAAAGCTCAAAAGGCATTTCGGCAAAATTAGAATTTTATCCTGTGTTTATTTTCGTATTCCGTACAGCATGTGGCCACACTTTGTGAAAGTAATGTTATGTTTGTTTTCTTCCCTGTTTTGCAGTCAACCAAGAGGAGTTTATTGCAATTATGACTGGAGACTCGTGATTTGGAAACTCGGAATGACAGGTCACCGAGAAGAGACTTTCTTTGTTACTTTTAATATAGCATGAAGTTGCTTGAATTTTCCAACTGTGTGTGCCGTTTTGCAATATAGTGTTTGTTCACATCAGATGTTACACCTTGTCACGGATACGTGTGTGTATGTGGAATGTTAGTGCCTCATTTACTGCACCCAACCACAGCGACATGACTTCAATTCCCAGCCATGCACAACATACATCAGTAGCAAGTTATATTTTTAATCAGCCTTGGGCCTCTTAAGTAGACTCGGCCTTAGATAAGTACCTGGTGTGTATAATCGTCACCACTGGGCAGACCTTTGCTGGCAACACCGCCCTTTTGTGTCATGCTGGCCATTTTCCGTGCTCGCGAACAGCACTTACCCCCTGTCGTCGATTAGGCTAAATGGAAGAGTATATAAAATGGGGGACCAGTAGTACAGCGGTTAGCGAGTTGCGTTACGAACCCAGTGACCTGAGTTCGATTCTCACGGCCAACACCAGCGACGATTATATGAACCGATTTTGGGCCACCCCGATGTCAAATCTGCCTTTTAAGTACCTGGTGCGGTGTATAAACATCATCTGTCACTAGGGAGACAAAGGCGGCCGGCCCTGGTGCTGGCCACCCACCCCCTTGTGTGCTTGTGCCGGCCTTCCTAGGTGCTCACAGCACTTGCCCCAAAAGTCTATGAAGGCTATGCGGGCGATCTTTGCCTTATGTAGAATATTTATAGAATGGACAATTCTCAATATATTTTTTGTTAATGTTTTCACTGCTGCGGTTCAATGTTTGCACCTCGCATTGTTAGTGGGTGGCTGTTCCCATCTGTAATATCAGGCCGACCAGTGGCAGTGATTGAATTAGGCAGTATCTTTCTGATTAGACTAACGTCGGAAAACGGCCTACAATTGTCTTGAAGCAAATGCACATGTAAATTAGTCACGCATGACATGTGGCTAGATCTGTCCCTGCCATAGGAAAGTGGCATTTACACCACTCGGTACCGCCAACTGGGAAAAGCAGGGCCCAGCACTCATTTGTGCACGGCGACAAACTTTGACGTTTTAAATTATAAAAACAAAAGTGTCGAGCCTTTGATAAGAGCTGTAACGAAACTAAGAACTGTTAAGAACATTGCCATTAAATCCACAGGCCATTGTTTATTGCCTCTTGCAAAGATGAGCTGTCAACTTCATTCCATTTGAGTGTTTTTATTCGTGTAATTATTCCGCCTCTCGTGGCTTTTTATGGGTTTATTTGTGGCGGTTCGAGCAGCTGGTCGCATTTCGCAGCTGTTTCGCGTGATGTAAGACGCTGAACAGCTTTAATCGAGATGGAGTGTTGTGGCCACGAAGTTCATTTGTCTTTGCGATGTCACTGATGACAGAAATAAATAAATGCATTCAACGCGTGTGCTTATAAAAGAAGTAACGGAAATGTGCTTGACCCGACGATTGGAAGTAATTATGAAACTTGTGTGTCTCTCCGTGATTAGCTTGACATGCTATGCTCTTGGTACATTGGCTACAAGGCTTTTAACCCCCCTTCCCGAAATAATGCTTGGACCTATTTTATTCATCCCACGCATTCACAATAACTTTCATTGGAAACACCCGGAAAACACTGGGAGCCAGATCTGGTGGGATCTTGTCTCAGATTTATTTTACAAAAAAAAATGTTTTAATTGCGTACGCTTGCGTAAAAGGGAGATACTGTAGTCGATGGGTACATCTTTTAAACACTTCTAGATTTGAAGCTTTCGTGACTGCAAAGATTCATACTCTTAGTTCTTTCGGTAAAGTCACGTAGGTAAAAAATGAAATGAAAATTAATAAAATAAAAATCACGACGTTTCGGAGGCAACGCAAGTCTCCGTCATCAGGTGGGACCGTCACAGCCAGATTTGCTGCGTGACTTTACCGAAAGAACTAAGAGTATGAATCCTTTAAACACGTTTAACAACTTTTTACCTGACGTATTGCCACTTTCAGGCCACTGATCACACCTTTTATGGCTATCCCGGTAATTAGTACGACTGAAATTACAGTGCTTCATTGTTGAAGCAGAGGTTTGGGTTATGTAAGAAGCACGTTTTTTGCTGTTGATGATTCAGTGACGTGTATTTAACTAGATACTTGAAGGTATGCAGGATTGTGATTTCAGTGTGCGCTGCGCTATGAATCTCGGTGTAATTCCCAGCCACGGCTTGTAGGTCGCGTGCGAGTTATTTGTGACACGGGCAATCACTAGGGGCCGCTACAGTCAATGCGATTTTTAAAAACGATTATTGAAGATTACCCCCTGGAAGTGAGCACAGCCAGCAGAGGGCAGTGCTATTACAATGTACAAATTGCACTGCACCTCTACGACGCCCCCTGCCTTTGCCAATCTGCATTGACCAGCGTGGTGTGGTCTGGCCAAATTACCACCAAGATCTGAACGACGTGGGGCAGCACTCATCCAGCAGTGGATGGGCAACAGGGCTGTACATTCACGTGTCTACCACGCATATGTGCATGAGCACACAGCACACTACTGCATTATCCAGGTGTTAAAATTCATACCTGATGGGTTAAATTTGACACAAGCAGCTCACTAGAGGCCGTTACACTCCTTCCGTCGTCCTCTGTGAATCTTCCAAAGATTACAGAGAACAGAAAAGCCTCGTACCGTGAATGTGAAGAGGATTAATCTAACGAAAACAGGTGGCGAATTAAAGAGGTGGATCGGCAGGAGCACTACGAGGAATCGTAATATTTAGACTGGAGGAATCCGAAAAGCTGTGAAGCTCTTTTTGCAAATGTCCAGCATGGGCGGGTGGAGCAGGAGGTAGAAGAAGAGAAGGTGGGACCAGCAGGAGGATGAGGATGTTGAAAAAATAGGTGAAATATAAGTAGGTGGGAGCTCAATGGGTCCTTACCTGCTATTGCATACCTGTCAACCCAGGGACATTGATTTCTCAGGTCCATACGGCGTGCAGCCGTTTCAATAGGGCAATTTTAATGGTCTATTTGTGTTTCTCCCTTGTGATGAACGTTGAGATTTATAAGGGACACGGGGTGACCAATAAGATGTAATCAGGTAGGGCACTGGTAAGGGGTTGACATGTATGTGAGTGCATCCACATATAAAGCAAGCAGCACCATCAGCTTGCAAGATCACAGCAGCATGATAGGTAGCATCATTGGCACCAATTATCAAAATTATAATCCATAAAGCAGTTTTTGTTTAGTAACATAATTGTCTATTTGTGTTTACTCCCTTGTGATGGGACTTTGTAGGATAGACGTTGAGATTAATAAGGGCCACGAAGTAAGGTCTGAATTGATCTGCAATAATGTAGGACACTGATAAGGGGTTTACAGGTATGTAGTGGTGAGTGTACTAGTGGTGAGTAGTGGTGAGTGTACTAGTGAGTGTACTAGTGTGTGTAGTGGTGAGTGTACTAGGTGAGTGTACTAGTGAGTGTACTAGTGAGTGTAGTAGTGGTGAGTGTACTGGTGAGTGTACTAGTGAGTGTACTAGTGAGTGTAGTAGTGGTGAGTGTACTGGTGAGTGTACTAGTGAGTGTACTAGTGGTGAGTGTAGTAATGAGTGTACTAGTGAGTGTACTAGTGGTGCTTGTCTATTTGTGTGTCTCTCCCTTGTGATGGGATTTTGTAGAATAAACGTTAAGATTTCTAGGAAACACAGGGTGACCAATAGGATCTGAATTGGTCTGTAACAAGGTAGGCCACTGATCAGGGGTTGACAGCTATGAGTTATTATATATATAAAACTAAAATCGTTGTTTAGTTTAAGTAGGAATAGAGGTGGAGGAAGGGGTCTGATTTGGAACTCTGCTCGTGTGGGTGGAGCGAGGCGCGCGCCAGACGCGGAACAGCTTCAGCGGCCCCGTGCCACTGCGCTTTGGTGACAGCCCTGGTGGTGGTGGTGGTTGTTGTTGGTGGTGGTGGTTGTTGGTGGTTGGTAGTGGTTGGTGGTGGTGGTGGTTGTTGGTGGTGGTGGTTGTTGGTGGTGGTGGTTATTGTTGGTGGTGGTGGTTGTTGGTGGTGGTGGTTGTTGGTGGTGGTGGTTGTTGTTGGTGGTGGTTGTTGGTGGTGGTAGTTGTTGTTGGTGGTGGTGGTTGTTGGTGGTAGTAGTTGTTGGTGGTGGTGGTTGTTGGTGGTGGTTGGTGGTGGTTGTGTTGGTGGTTGTTGGTGGTGGTAGATGGTGGTTGGTGGTGGTGGGTGGTGGTGGTGGTTGGTGGTGGTGGTTGTTGGTGGTGGTGGTTGTTGGTGGTGGTTGGTGGTGGTGGTGGTGGTGGTTGTTGTTGGTGGTGGTTGTTGTGGTGGTTGGTGGTGAGTGGTGGTGGGTGGTGGTTGGTAGTGGTTCTTGGTGGTGGTGGTGGTGGTTGTTGTTGTTGGTGGTTGTTGGTGGTGGTGGTTGTTGGTGGTAGATGGTGGTTGGTGGTGGTGGGTGGTGGTGGTGGTTGTTGGTGGTTGTTGTTGTTGGTGGTGGTTGTTGGTGGTGGTGGTTGGTGGTGGTTGTTATTGGTTGTTGTTGGTGGTTGTTGTTAGTGGTGGTTGTTGTTGGTGGTGGTGGTTGTTGTTGCTGGTTGTTGCTGGTTGTTGTTGGTTGTTGTTAGTTGTTGGTGACACTACACGGAACGCGAGTCAAGAACAGAGCAGCTGGTAGCAGCTGGTGTAACGAGGCTGGCGGGAGAGAGACACGAGAGAAGGTGGACAAATGAGCTCGCCAAAGCGTTGACTCAAGATCCGGGAAACTCGTGCCGCCAAAGTGCTTTAGCAAAGCACCGCACACACACACACATCGACAGGAGGAGGAGGAGAGAGTTAACACACACACACACACACAACAACAAAAGACGCTAGAGGGAGACAGAGAGACGCGAAGACGAAAGGAGGGAAAAGCGACAATTAATGAAATAAAGTCCTTCACCAAAAAGCCTAACATGGCGGCGGTGGTGGCTGCGCCCGTAACGCAGTACAGCGAGGCGTGGTATCTCTCTTTGCTGGGCTTCGCAGAGAACTTCAGGACATCAAGTCCACCTCGGATCCGTCTCTGTGTCCACTGCCTTCAAGCTATCTTCCACTTCGGACCAGGGGCACGAGTGGAGGCGAGGACTCATTTGCAACTGGGCAGCGTGCTGTACCATCACACCAAGAACGTCGATCTGGCTCGCTCTCACCTCGAGCAGGCGGTGAGGGATTCGTTTTGTTACGTTTCGTTCCCGTGGATTCATTCATTGACTCGTTCGTCAAAGCTGCTTTCGTTCTTGTGTTGTTGCTTGCTTGGTTGGTTGATGGTGGTGTTGTGTTCGTACTTTGGCGTGTGCGTCATGCGGGTCCGCTAAACGTTGTGACGGTGTCTGTGTCTGTGTGTGTGTCTCTCTCTCTTCTTGGCTCCTCTGCACGTTGAATGATTGTGTTAGTATCAACACAGTTGTTGTTGTTGATTATGTTGTTGTTGTTTGGTACTGTTATCGTCACAGGGAGGTGACAGTGTGGTTGGTGGTGATGGTGTCCAGAGTTTTTGGGGCAGAAGGGCCGCTGTGAGGGTAGTGGTACACAAGTACCAACAACACACGAATACAGGGAAGGTGTTATCAACATTGTGCTACTGTTGTCATCACTACCAGCACAAATATGTTCGTGTTCTGCTGCACTGTGAACCAACATCATCGGTAGCATAGTTTCACTAAACGTTGGTTATCATCTCTGCCAGAAACACTTTCGTCGTTTAGTAGCACTTATTACTAGAGCAGCTATCATCACTGCCAAGCCCGGCATCTTACCACAGTTACCCCAATCACCAGCACTAACAACCACCACAACAACAACCATCACAACTATTTACTATACCACCATCAACCCTACCACTATCATCAATCACCACCACGGCGTTATCAACGAAACTACCATCACCACCACAACTACCATCAACATTAGCACCATAACATCACCGGTGTTTCATCGTCACCACACTGCCACCACCACCATCATCATCATAACTATACCACCATAAGCCCCTACCAATCACTACCATAAGCAACAACAACAACATCACCAACAACAACAACAACACCAACACCTCAACACCCAATACCAATCGTCAAACGCCGGGTCTGGTACCACTTAACCCGGCGTTCATGTTAGACAAGACCGAAGCTTGGTATATTGTACTCGTTGCTGAGGCTATCATAATATAGAGAGATATATATATAGATATCGATATAAACAAACAGCAGGGACAGAGAAATAGAATGGCACACAGACGCATGGAACAGGAGAGAGACCGAGAAAGAGGGGCCGGTGACACTGGGTGCCCCTCCCGGGGTGAGGTGCACCTTTCCCGGCAGCGCTTCTAGGCAAGACCGAGGCTTGGGAATTCAACATATTATAGTTTATTCCTGCAGTCACGAAAGCTTAACATCAATATTATAGTTTGTAATCTTGTGGTTATTGTCGTAGGTTGCATACTGATGTGGTAGTTTCTCGGTGATGTTGAAAGTGGCGGTGGCAGTAGTATGCGTTGGTTTCTTTGGTGCTCAAAGAGTTTGTGTGTGTCTGTAGTAGTGATGAAAGTGATTATAGTGGTGTCTGTGTTGTGGTAGTGATAATATAACCAGTCGTGGTTAGTACTGTACATGTTTGTGTCTTCATAGTTTCCGTATCGTGGCTAGTTTGTGTGGTCGTAGTAGCATCTGTGGTGGTGGTGGTAATATCTGGGGCTAGTATTGTAAATGTGTAGCGGTGATAATAATACTACGGTATATGTATAGTTGTATCTGTGGTGGTGGTGGTGGTAGTAATAGTATTTAGTGGTATTTGTGGAGTGGTGGTCACTATGTATATCAATATAGTACTGCCAGTGTTGATATGATAATCATGGTACTGGTAGCTGTCATGGTACGAGTACTGATGATGTTACTGATGGTAAAGGACGTAGTGGAAGTGTTTATGGTATTTGCAACCGGTGATAGCACTGAAGATACACAGTTAGGGTTAGTGTTGACTAAGTCTGTGTACAGGCTTGGTCATTGCTGCTGCTGCCGATGTGAGAGAGAGACCGAGGGAGACCGGTTTACCCTGGGTGACTGCCCCTTGTCTGAGAGCCACTTACCCCGGTAGGGCATCTAGGAAATACCGCGGCTCCATTGGGCCTAGTCGGTCTTTTTGCGTTAAAAATTTCCCCGTTTAATTTTCAAATATTATCAAGTTGCTTGTTAATCTGTGAGTTCTGACACGCGAGGCTGTTGGTATGTTATGGGGCATGTTTGTTCTGCTTATTCTTATTGAATTTTTGAAAGTGATTGCTATATGTGGGAGGTAAACGCACACTGTACTGTGCGTGGTGTTGTGATTAGCATGGTAACGATGTTGGGATGTATTATGCTGGCAGCTTTTAAGTTGCTTTTATTTGTGTTTACGTTGTTCATGCGAGTAATACGTCGTTTTGTGAATGTTACTTGAGCAGCGTTCGTCCAGCATTGTTAATGTCTTGCCGTACATTAGTTGTTGACTAATCTGGCGGCTTATTGCTTAACAGGGGGGGCTCTATTTCGCCTCGCTTAAATCCAGTGCATTGTATTAACCTACTTAACTAACAGTGTATATTGTCAAGGTTTGTGCATGTAAAAAAGCCACAACAATTATTAGCAACGCATGCGTGTGGTGTTCTTGTTGAGGTTGGCCTCAAAGAACCCCAACGTTGAACCAAACTCCTTTCAACTGAACTCAAAAGCACATTGACTGGGTTCCTTGTAAACATACATTTAATACAGTAATGCGATTTGATTTAACGATGTAAGAGTTTTGAATGTTGGAGATATTTGTTCAGAAATGCGTAAATGTGATTTCATTTCCTATTTATTTCATGTAATGTTTGCAACCATTAACATCACGCCGATTTGATGTTTTACAATTAATTATTTTGTCCTTGCTATTTTTATTTGTCGTTGCAGTGGCTGCTGTCCCAACAGGTATCCTTTGTTGATATTTTAATAAGTTGCGTTTCTGTCAAAACGGGTAAGCTTTCGCGCCGCGTTTAAATGTGTAGGCCGTATAGGCCAAGGCACCGGCCTAGCCTAGTTTCCTCTACCGGGGAAGGCGTGGGGTCCCCTGAGGGATTTCACTGCGTGCGGGTCTCCTTTCTACGGTGTTTTTTTCAATATATATAAAGTTTGTAATGTTACTTCGGCACGGTAGAATTTTTCGATTTGTATTACGACAAATCCGCATCTAGTTAAGACGCATGTGTTACTTGGAGTATTTGTTGCGAGTTGTATCGATATGTGAAACAAGCAATAAGCTTCCTTGTAGGGTACTCTGCATTGGAACACGGTGCCATGCACCGCCAGTTTATGAACGTACTGTATTACATAAGTATAGACCAGTTTAAAAGTTTTAATTTTAAGACGTCAAGACAGGGGGGTACTTTTCGTGGTGGAAATTCCACTCGTGACGGGCAGTTTTATCTAAAGGAAACCATTGTTGAATTGGCATTGGAATGTGATGTATATGCTGCATTACACGGTGAGGTTGTGGGTGGTGTTCAGAGATACCGGTCAGAATAGCAAGTGACTTATTTGCCAGTGTTTGTTTTCATTTGAAATAGTACGCATGCTAGTGTATTCCAAATGTGACGTGTGTGTGTACAGTGTTTTTTTTTTACACGCACTGTTATAAGGACTCATTCTTGTAACAAGGAAGTAACACGTTGAAGTTTTAGATTTCAAAAAACTGTTTTAAAAGAGAACACGCAATTTGATTTACTTCCAGTTTTTAAATCGCAAACATTGCTCGGTGGAGTTAATATTTCGGTTCATGGCTTACAGATGAACACGGAGATACTTTTTAGTTTCGCCAGAGGCAGCTGAGCCTGTGTAATGGGAAAATAAATACTACCTACTTTGCAAGGAGTCATTTTCTTGACTGTCCTTTAAAAAGACTGACCACGGTCACAGCGATGTGGAATTTCCAACACTGGGCAGCCATTTGAGGCGAGTGCCACTCGATACCTCTATGAGCAGGTAGAGTTAATTTATTTGAGATTGGTTGGGCATAAGACGTTGATGCTATTGCAAACAAATGTTTGTAAACAACGTAACTAGGCAGGTAAGCGGGCCTATTGAGTCCTCAAATTGCAAGCCATTTCCCCGTTTGTTCATTTAATCTTATCTTACGTAGGAGACGTGTAACGTTTGTGTGTGTGCGTATCGCCGTAGATTCAGCATAAATGTGTGAAGAACATTTCACGATGTTGAACAAGCTTGAATTGATTACAGACCGTTGCACATAAAAATACTGCGTACTGTATATAAGGAAACAACTTGGCACATGACCTAACACGCACGGAAGTTGACCTCTGAAGCATGCAGGGACATTTACGTTAACCACAGCAATGTCATCGTCGTACGTGGGATTTTAAAGACCTCTTGTTCCCACAGAGACATTGATGAGATGGCTCTGAAGCCAGGCGGGTAGCTGTACCACACTGGGAAAGTTGTTGTAGTCGGATCCCATCGCTTCTGCACAAACGAGATTTTGCGTGGCGACACGGGGGCGTGTCCTGTTAAGTATTAAGCCAGTCAAGCATGCAGTTAGAAATAGTTTGTGCATTTTTTTTGCAAAGCATGCTTGCCATCCACTGAGCCGCTTGCTTTTCCTTTACGCTAAATAAATGAATGCCACTCATTTATCAAGGAAAGCCTCATCGAGTCTCGGGGCCCTTTTTTAATGATGGTGCTGAATTAGGATGTTTGTCCCAGCTCCTTTTCAAAGTGGGAAGAAACTGGGCTACTTGAAGAACACATACACAGACCGGTTAATGGTCCCAGTTTATGTACTGCCATTTCCGAGCCACCTCGCAGCACAGACTTGCAGCATACAATGACCTCAATTCGACCCACCAGTGCGCTGTAGCACAGCTGTGTGCCTTCACACTACGTTCAACTATAAGCAAGTTGCGTTCGGATTTATTGAATGTCTGAATTGTATAGAAATAGGCTTAAACTATTGGTGCCGCCTAGACGTTTCAAAGTGTTATGAATTGCACGGTACAATTTGGGATGGGTGAGGGAGGCGATCTCAGCAGTAGCTGGGGTATGAAAATAATGGATTCGGGAGATTTTGCGCAGATTGAGGTATGAGATCGTACAGAGTTGAGATATTTGGGAAGACATCGAGAGCTTGATCAATGACAGCTCAAAGCATTCACATTCTCTTTGCCAGTGTGATGTCAGAGTTTAGGAGTGCTGTAAAACAGATTTTCCACATGACAGTTTCTGACTTTGGGTCAGATAACTTGGCAAGGGAAAATAAAGCACAAAGCTATGGATTATTAATGTGCAGCCTTTTTCAAGTATTGTTGTTTTGGCAAGATATGGCAGGTACAGCAAGTGGGTTCATATCTCGTCAGCCAATTTTTGGGTGTTAACACCTCCAAACGCTTGACCTTTCTTCAGATTCTTTTTTTTTTACTCTTTAGGAAAAAGACGATGACGATATTTACATCATGAGCACTGCCCATGCATTTGCTCGGGATCCACGCTCGTGGTGGTGGGTGGGATGGAGGTTGATGTTGCCACCGTGCCCCCACTCCCGTGCCTTGCGTAACTATTTGGCTGTAAGCGTGATGGCATCGTCAAGGAGTAGCTCAGCCTCGTAGGGTGACTTCATCATAGAAGCCATAGACATTGTTTCAGGTAACATAACGTCATGTGGAACCAAACTTTCCAACAGTGCTTCCAATGAAATACGAGTCCTCTTCCGGAAGATTTTTGCTCCCATTGGCTTGAATTGGACGTTGTATTTAAACATTTTGGTAGCAGAACGTTAATTTGGAAAGGTGACAATTTTGTACGTATGTCCAAGTTAAACACATTTTAGTTTAATGTTTATTTTCGTACGGCCAACAGTGTGCGAGATACAGAGCGTAATGGACAGACACTTGCGCATTATATGTATTTAATTCAGAAAAGTTATTGGGTTTTGGCAGGACATGTTGCTACAATTGATGATGCCTTTCGGTCGAAACTAACAAGTGGCGTGGTAAAAGGAGGCACCATGCCTAAACAATATTCCACCATGGAGATGGAGCGATTACATCAGCCAGGTGGATTAGTGAATTTCAGGACCATTAAGAGTTGGCTAGAGCTTGTTAGAGGCCTTCCTCCAGCAGTGGATATATCGTGGCTGATGGTGCCGGCTTGTTCTCTCCAATACTCCAAAATGCTCCTTCATAAAAAGAGCCAGGGTCTTCACACGCCAATGCAGAACCCTCCTGAAAACGAGTTTTTTGTTTGCATTTGACTGCAAGTATTGTGGTTAATGTAAGCATGATTCCTTGCAAAAGGTGTCGGTTTTGTTGCCAGAAAAAAGGGGGGAAACCCCTATTAGTAAATTTTGGTACTGGCAAAGGAGGTCCCATGATGAGTTTAGACTCGGTAAGGTTGGTGGTTTGGTTACGTGGTGGCAACTTCTGCCCAAAATAAACTCTCGCCCTGTGGTTGGGATTGTTGGACTGCGATAATTTTTTGTGCTGTTGTGTGAGAAGAAAAAGTGAAGTGTTTAGTGGCCTTTACTCGAGCTGTCCCAGATCCCTTCATTTGAAGATGTCAAGTTCGAAGCGGCAAGTCTGCTGGCCGAGCTCTACTGTCAACAGGTAAGCGAGGCATTTGATTAATTCTTCCCGGAGCTGAGTGCGAACGAGTGGTATTGAAGTAAAAGTTCAGCATTTGGTTGGCAATGCATGCGCTGTGTTGCATTACGCGTGTGCGTGTGCACACGTTTGGCCAATTCCACAATAATGAAATTTCAGCAGTTGTACGGCCAGTATATTTTCAGGTCTCTGTCACAGACTACGTGTACGTTAACTTCCATACATGCCTACTTGTCTGCCTGTATGTCTGTGTGTCTTCCTAACTTCTCGCTCGCCTCTCTGCATAACTGTTTGTGTCTCTGTCCATGCTTGCATCGGAACATCAGAACCTTGTGGACTCTGCCAAGCCGCTCTTGAGGAAGGCCATCCAGATTTCACAACAGACGCCCTATTGGCACTGCAGGCTGCTGTTCCAGCTCGCCGTGAGTTCCCCATTCCACCGCACTGCCACCAGAGTCACATACACCACACACAGATATTTTTAAGTCGTTTACAGATCGTGATAAAATTGTAGTCATTTACAACCCATTATCAGTCCATTTCTGGATGAAGTGTTCTTCATGCCTTTCAGTCACGGTGGTTGTTTGACCTTGCCGCACTGGTCTGTGTAGTGATGAAGGGCAGATTGCGGTTTAGTTCATCTCACACTCACCAGCGATGTGAATAATGATCGAACTCTGGTCGCTGGGGTCATCGTGCAGGACACTAACCAACATGTCACCACTACACCCCATGTACGTACGATAATTTATTTCCGTTGTACATCAATTGAGACGAGGTTTTATTTAAGAACTCTGCAGCTTACAGTGTATCACCATGTTTCGGAGAACAACTCCAGGAGATGACGTCAGAACTACTTCTGAGGTCACTTGGGTTACGCTTCTATCCACGCCAGGGTCACACCTCTGTAAAGGGTGTTTGCTTGCATATCAATGAAACTGAAATATTGAACATAATACAGTTTTTTTGGGTTAGATCGCGTAGAGAGAAAAATGTGTCGTTAAACCCGCCTGATGAAGCTGGTTGTAATTACTTGCGGAACGTCTTACTCGGATTGTAAATGTTGTGGCTTGGCTCTTCAACAGACCGGTGGTGCTGTACTAGTGACGAATTGCCATGTTCTGTTTACGTGACAAATCTTACTCATTGGCTGTGTCGGGTGGTGGCGGGTTTAACGACACATTAATATATATTTATGCGATCTTACCCAAAAAAAAACTGTATTACGGATGATATTGGTCGCGAAAGCCGACATGTTGAACTGAAATATTGAAGTCTTAGAGCTGCAAGTCAACCAAATTAAGTGAAAAACCACATGTAGCGTTGTGACTTTTTGTGCAGTCATTGGTGACCGGGCTGAGACCATCTTTGTGCTTGAGAACCCGGTTTAATCACAGGAGTTATTCATCTGAACCCACGATCTCAGTGGTGACAGCGTTGTGCTTTTACCCTGGAGCGACCTGTCCACGTCTCGCCTCGTTAATTTCGTGTTGTTTGTGAGGAGGAAGAGGAGAGGAGGAGGAACGAACTAACTATTTTTATTTTACCAGGTAGGGCCCACTGAGCCATGTAGCTCTTTTTCAGAAGCGACCTAGCCACAAATGATAGCTCAACGAAGTGGCTTATCAATGTGGAAATTTGGAGCAGCCATACAATCGAATAGAGTGATGCTGATTCTAAATGTGGAGGGAAAAACCGGAGGACCCGGAGAAGAATCCACATCACCACGGAGAGAGACAAATGCAAACTCCAAATATACAGGCATCGTCAGGGTTGGGATCGAACCCACGGTCCTCCTATATACCATTTTTCGATTTAAAGCTTTCGTGACTGCAGGGATTCATCTTCTTGGTTCTTTCGGTAAAGTCACGTAGAATGGAAATAATAAAATAATAAAAATAAAACATATAAATAATTCTCACGACGTTTCGGCCACAACGCAAGCAGCCGCCTCAGGTGGAGAACAGGTCTGTCGACAAGACAGAAGACAGACTCTGTCTTCTCGACAGTCCTATGTAGATACCAGGCGAGGTAGTTGACATCTCGCCACTGTGGCAGGAGGAGCTGTCTTCAAGCTGAGAGCCCTGGTGTGAACTCGCTTTCTTGTCTCTTCCCGCCCTCGCAACAGCAACTCCACACGCTGGAGAAGGACCTCATCTCGGCCAGCGACCTCCTGGGCGTAGGGGCGGAGTACGCACGGGTGGTTGGCTCCGAGTACACGCGGTACGTTGTGCCGTGACAGCCGGCTCGTTTGTGTGCAGCTATCTGTGTGTGTGTGCCTGGTGTGCGTGTGAGTGGGGAGCGATAGTGTCGCGGTCAGTGCGCTGCGCTATGAACCCGGCGACCCGAGTTCGATTCCCGCTCACGGCCAACACCAGTGACGATTATTTGAACCGGTCCTGGGCCTCCCCTAGGTCGACTCGGCCTCAAATGAGTACCTGGTGCGGTGTGTAAACATCACCACTAGGGAGACAAAGGCGGTGGGGCGTGGTGCTGGCCACCCACTCGCTAACAGCACTTGCCCCTACAGTCTGTTAAGGCTATATGGGGGATCTTTGTATTGGCACAGTTGGTGCATCTGTCAGTTATCTCGGTCAACCCATGGCACCTGGGTGTGTCCCGTGACCTGCCAGCAAACCTTTGAAACTTCACGTAGCCTCTTGAGTGCACATAGCCTGGCACAAGCGCCTTGATGACTTCACCGCCACTTAGTGGTGAATGGCGGCTGTCATTGTCGTGTGTGTATTTGTGTGTGCTTACAGTTGTGCATTGTGGTGTGTACGTCTGAGTTTGTGTCTTTGTGTGGGGAGCGGTAGTGCGTTGGTTTGCATGCAACGCTACAAACCTGGGGTGACCCAAATTCCATGCCTGCTCACGCCTAACCTTTGTGGCATAAGGAGGCCCTCGTCCGGAAGTAGTTTGGCAATTGGCTGTACATGTATAGTTTGCAGAATTATAAAAATCCTCATTTCCTGACAAGTGCACTCTGGTGGCTATGCTTGCCTCTTAATCTAGCGCTTTGGAGACGAGTGTTGCTGGATCACACAAATCTGCGAAACTTCCTACCAAAGGACAACTGGTTTGCAAAGGTTTGGCAGGGGAGTGCATTAGTTTCCATCCGTATGGAAGTTGAGTATTACCTGCATCACACGCGTGGGCTTTCTCCAGGTATTACAATTTCCCCCTCGCGTGTATAAACACTCGCAAAATAAGTTGGTCAAACATTGTGATGTAGGACCACAGGGCTTGGGCAACTGTTGCCACTGATTGTGCCTGTCTTGCCACTCGCCTGTGCTTTCCCGCAAAGGCATCCTTGCGAAAACTGTACCCATAACAATATTCCATGGCGAATTGAGATGCGATTTGCATGAGTGACGACGCAAAATAGAAACTAAACATTGTTATGGAGCGTTGTCTTGTGCTGCTTCGACGCGGCTGTTGCTGCTGCTGCTGCTGCTGACGACTGTCGCTGTGGTTCATTTCTCTGCACTGCAGAGTACTGTTCCTGCTCAGTAAAGGTCTCCTGCTGCTCATGGAGAGGAAGTTACAGGAGGTGCACCCCATCCTGTCGCTGTGCGGCACGCTCGTGGAGGGCTGGCAAGGCAACCCCATACAGAAGGAGTCGCTACGGATCTTCTTCCTCGTTCTGCAGGTCACCCACTACCTGGACGCTGGCCAGGTGAGGCTGACAGCCGCCGCCGTCATGGCCTTCCTCGCCATCATCGACGTTGTTAACGCGCCAGTTATTATTGTGTAATAATACTCTTGGAGACGGCTTGCGGAATCGGGCCTTTTATTTACTTATTTCAGTTCACAAGCACTCCCCGTTGCTGGCAGGCAACGGGAAGTGGGCAGACAGATCGCAAGAGACGCACCGCCACGTGGCACTCGGAGCCCCGCTAGCGCGTGGGGCCCCTCTCTCTCTTCGTTCCTCGTCTGACCACGTGTCCCTCGGCTCTTCCCTTATTTAACGCCTGGGTCACGTGGTACGCTCCAGCCAATCCTTAATAGCCTGCGCTGAATGTTCCAGATTCCCCATCAACTCCCGGGACCACGCCCCTGACTTGTCTTCCCATTGGCTGAGGCCAAGACCAGCAGAACCAATCACCCTAGCTGGCACCCCTCGATCACGCCAGGGCCATGCTCCCAGGCTCTCCCCCCATTGGCTGTAGAGCAGGACCGGCAGAGCCGATCACCACGTGAGCCGGACATAGGCTCTCATTACAATTGTATCAGTTCGCTGGTTATGGTGAAGAACACTTTTTCACAAGCAAATTTTAGCGATGAGATACGACGTTCGCTTGAAACTGCATCAGTCATCTTCCGGTCAGAAACCAGGAAGTTGGAATGGCACGTTAAAACGATTGTACGCGTGACAAATTTAATTTGTTTCGCTGTGGTGGGTGGTGGAGGGTTTTCACGACAATTATTTTGACCAGATTCATTGCGTGGCCTAACCCCCTGAAAACATTTACGTGCCAAAATACTCTTTTTGCCGACTGGAGCAGACAAACCATTTTTTTGCGTCCACTCCTTTGCAACGCTGTGCCTTTTTAAAGTCCTTTATATTAAGTTCACTTGCTTGCTTGCTTGCACGCTTACGACCGTGCAAATCTTTCGGTCGTTTTTTAACCCACTTCCCGTGATCTAATCGAGCTGACATTTTGCACACAGACTCGTGCGTGACAATTTATTTTCGTGAAAAAAAATATTCCATAACTTTTTAGGAAAAAAAATATTATATTTAATTACCAATTGCTTAATGGTGGCAGGCAATCATCTGACCCATAGGTGGCAGCCATCTCAAGCCAGAGGACGAGAGGACTCTAGCCGCCACGTATATAAAGGATTTATAGTGAAAAACTTTGTTTTTACGGGTTCATTTTTTCCCCGTGCCCTCCGCAGATGAAGAGTGTGAAGCCGTGTCTCAAGCAGCTGCAGCAGGGCATCCAGACGATATCCACGCTGCACGACGACGAGATCCTGCCCACGAACCCAGCCGACCTCTTCCACTGGCTCCCCAAGGAGCACATGTGTGTCCTTGTCTACCTGGTTAGTCGCCTCCGCCAACCCCATGTCGTTGTCGCCGATTTACTGCGCTCGCGCACGAGCGGACTTTTTTTACACGCACGCCGTGTACAATTTTAGTAGCTCCGCCGGCTTCATCCAGAGTCGGCGAATCGGTGCACACGTGACCGCAAATGCGTCGGCAAGGAAACGGTATCCTTTAAGAAGCAATTCGCATTCCGTGCAGTAGGCTTTTATCTCTGTTTCTGGTTTATCTGGGCCATCCATCCCTCTCTCCACCATTATCCCAGATAATGTAAATTGTATTTCCTCTCTCGCATATAGCCGAATGAGCAATCTTCGGTGAGTCGGGCCCAGCGGTAGCGCATTCACCGCTTGTTGCAGAGGTTCACGGTTCGAATCCATTGGCCACCCTGGTCAATACTGCGGCGTGTGATACTTGTCGGCTGCGTAGTGGACGTTAAAGGTCCTCCAATGTCATGCGCAAGAGTAGGCCATTGTGTGCCATCATCAGGGTCCACACTCTCCCCTGTTCTGATATGATATGCAAATTTCCTCAATCGGGATTACACAGCGAGCGATCCTTACCCCCTCCTGGCAGACTCGTGCCCAAGGTCACCCTTGCAAATGGTACTCTCCTTGTCTCTTGAGTTCTAACCTAGTTATACAAAATTAACTTTCCTGTATGCTGCCCAATGGCAGATTTTTGGCTTAAACTCTCGCCCATCCTGTCCTGTCTTGAGCTTTTGGCTTCAGTTCACCGTACCGCCCTCGTAAACGTCCAGCATCTCCTCAGTCTTATGTCTAATTTAGTTAGATATGAAATGGCATTATGGTCTGGTCATTGATTCCACAGGGGCACATCAGGATTTTTTAGATTTTCCACTTGTGATGACAATGGGCAGATCTGCCTTGAAACATGCGAACTTGAATTAAAGTGGACATCGTTGTCACGACCACCACCACCATCATCATTTTCAGCAGCAGCGGCATCGTCTTCATCATCAACATCGTGTTTGTCATCATCTTCATCATTGTCAACAATGTCACGATGAATATAATTTGTATCATCGTAGTTTTCACTTCGAATCGCCTAAGCACAAGCAAGAATGTATAAAAGTATTAATGTGTTCGAACCTCTAGAACTTGGGTTGATGATGTTGATTGTAGGGACAGAGCTCTTCGCGTAGGACACATTGCAAGAACTGGCGAAGACGGAGCCCCATGGCGCAGGATAGCCCATCTGGTGGCCAACCCTCGGTCTGAGGAAGGCTAGAAAATGTTCACTTTGAGATGCGTTTAATGTTTGTGAACGCGGAGGCATTTTTAGCTTTTTTATTTACGAATCGCAACGAGTTTTTTTTTAATTAGGTCACGAAGGTGAAATGTACGTTACGGTATTGGTGGTAATGCAACGTGCGCTCTGGTCTTAAATTTTACGGTGCGTTAAGAACGGATATTTCAATGTTTAAGTGTAAGTGGCCTCGGCGCTGTTTCATGTGTGTCCCACTCACTCACTCACCCGTTTTTGTCTCTCCTCTACTGCAGGTGACGGTCATGCACTCGATGCAGGCGGGTTACCTGGAGAAAGCACAGAAGTACACGGACAAAGCGCTCATGCAGATAGAAAAGCTCAAAAGTGAGCACCCGCCTGTTTTTTATATATATGTGTGTGTGTGTGGGTAAGTGGTAGTGTAGCGATCAGCGCGGTGTGCTACAAACCCAGCCACCCAAGTTCGATTCCCGCTCACGACCAACACCAATGATGATTATCTGAACCGGTCCCGGGCCATCCCTATGTCGACTCAGCATAAATTAGAACCTGATGCCGTTTGTAAATGTTGCTACTGGGGAAACGAAGGCGTCGAGGCATGGTGCTGGCAACCCCCACCCCCTCGTGTGCTGTGCCAACCTTCATAGGTGCTATTCTTTGGTTCTTTCGGTTAAGTCACGTCTAAAAATAAAATAAAAAATTAAAATAATAGCGACGTTTCGATTGCAACACAAGCAATCATCATCAGGCATAAAAGAAATAGCAATAAAAATCGAAATAGAAAACTATAGACAGACATATTTAAGGGACCGTCACAGAAACGACCCCTCTCTCTGTGCCGATATTTGTCCTCTCTCTGTGTGTCCTTGTGATGTCTGTCTGCTTATGTCTGTCTATAGTTTTCTATTTCGATTTTTATTGCTATTTCTTTTATGCCTGATGATGATTGCTTGTGTTGCAATCGAAACGTCGCTATTATTTTAATTTGTTATTTTATTTTTAGACGTGACTTAACCGAAAGAACCAAAGAATAATTCCTGCAGTCACGAAAGCTCCAAATTAAGATTCATAAGTGCTGCTCGCTAACAGCTCTTGCCCCCAACAGTCTGTTAAGGCTATACGGGGGATCTTTGTCTTTGTTGCGGAGCGGTGGCGCAAGTGGTTAACGCACTGCGCTACAAAGTTGACAATGGGAAGTTTGAATACTGGCCACGAGTGATACCTGAACCAATCCTACCAATGCACGCTGACCAGCATAGTGAAGTTTGATCAAAATAACTCACGACCGACACGCCGTGATAAGGTCTTCATGCAGCAATGAATTGACAATGGACTGGAAATTAATGATACGTACTTACCCCATGGCACAATAATTACTGTGCTGTCACTGTTACAGTTAAACACAGTCATCAGTAAATCATTCAATAAACATTTGTTTGATTTGCATAATGCCGGATGTTCCTTTTCATCAGAACTATCAGGCTTTTGGTGAAAATGAGCCGTTCTCTACATTGTTATTATGTAAATCATAGCAATAATTTTTTATTTGTAATGCACAGTTTTCATTCACTCTCAGAAAAGAGAGAGAGAGAGTGGGAGTGTTTCAGAGGCGCAGGAAATCACATACAAGCAAGAAGAAAGCCAGAACCAGCACCAACAATTTCCCAAGCTTTTCTGGTCCTACATCAGGATGTCCGACCAACTCCAAATCTGACCCCGCGTTCATTAAAAGCCACGCAGTGAGACATCGTCTGGGGAAACGCGATTCTTAATTTAGTTGTTTGCTTCATTTATTAATTTGTGACATTAATTGAAATGTCCTGTGATTCCGTAGTCCTGGACACGAGTCCCATCCTCTCCTCCTTCCAAGTGATGCTGCTGGAACACATCATCATGTGCCGTCTCGTCACGGGGCACAAGGCCTTGGCATTGCAAGAGGTATGGCCGTACGTGAGTGTTGTCGTCGCTCGCTACGAACCCGGCGACCCCCCGAGTTCAGTTCCTGCTCACGTATGGATGTATGTTGAACTTCTTTCGCACCGTATGTAGCCAATGGTGCTCATTGGAGGTGTGAAACTAATAAGTGCTCAATATATGCACCGTTCTCGGGCTTACCCTAGGTTGACTCGGCCTTAAAATGAGCACCTGTGTGTAAGGATCTGAACTGGGGAGACAAAGGCGTATGGACATGGTGTTGGTCAACCACCCCCTTGTGTGCCGTGCCTGTCTTCATTGGTGCTCATTGACAGCACTTGCCCTAACGGCCTGTCAGACTGTACAGGGGGATCTTTGTCTTTGTTTCGTGTGTGAATGTGCGGAGAGCGGTGGCCATGGTGGTCCACACTTTGCGCTGCAAACCCCGGGGACTTGAATGAGTCCCCAGTGTCGTGGGTAAGCCTCAGCACTGGGAATACAAAGTTGGCTCGGTGTGGTTCTAGCCACACCACCCCTCATGGGCTATATTATTGGTGCTCGCTAACAGCACTACGGACCCTGTGGGACCGAGTTTGGTTCCTGCACCCCCGCCCCCCCACCTGACTTCACCAACCGGCACTGACGCGCATGGTGAAGTATGGCCAAACAAACGGCATGGGGAGATCTTCGGCCACCAGTTCATTGACAGAGAACTCTAAATAATTAGTTTAGGAGTAGTGTAACTGTAAACAATGTGTTTACGCTTGTAAGTAAAACCATAATAAAGAGACTCGTAAGCTGGTATTGACCTAAGGGTGGGGGGCTGTGGGCTGGGACAGCTGTGCACCGTTCATTGAGACGGCGTGGCATTATGATTTTTTTTACGTTTCCGCTGGACTACAACAAACGTAACCTTGTGGCGGCCCCGTGGTGTTCCTGGATGGTTCCTGCTTGTGTTGGCAATGTGCCCCCTGCGTTCCAGTGGTTTTGGAGACTCGCCAGGATGTTGGTAGCACAGCTAGTGTGGACTTATCTGTCTGTCTTCCATTTTTATGGCATCGAGTGTTGCCCCATCGCACGCGTGGATTTTTTTGTGGGATTCTGCGTTTTCCACCGACACGTATAATAACGATATCAATTGGCCGATAACACCTTAATATATAGAGGACCGCAGAGTTTGGGCATTTGTTGGTACCACCTGCTTACTGCCACCTGAGTCATTCTTGCTCTTCGAGAGCAGCAAAAACCATTATTCTGTACGTCTATGCTTTCGGTTTAACACGTAGGCTTTCGCGACCAATATCATCCATAATACCCCAAAACAAAACACCTGTTATGGATCTCTGCTCCCGCTGTCTTTTACCAACTTGCACTGACCAGCGTGGTGAAGTCAAACAATCCCCACGCCCTGTGCAGTTGTGGGGAGTCCATCACCCAGCATTGCATTGACGAAAGGGCTCTACATGTACAATTAGTCATTACTGTCACCCAGGCAGGATGGAACAGCCATGTATTCCTGGTGTGCGAGTCATTAAAGTCAAAGCTGATCGAAAGAAACTCCGTTGTAAAACTGTGGCTCGGCAAAGAAAACGCATTGGCCGGGCGGACGTGAAAATGTTATTTTATTGCTCTGGTGGAACGAATGGAATTGACGCCTTCTCGTGTTGTGTTTGTGTGCGTCTGCAGATCTCGCAGGCATGCCAGCTGTGTCAGCAGTCTCCCCGGCTCTTCTCGAACCACGCTGCACAGCTGCACACGTTGCTGGTAAAAACCTCAGCCTCCCCGTTGCCACGGTCGTTGTAACATGGGAGAGAGATGTTAATTCCCTCGCCTTGTATGCAGGAGGTCATGGGTTCGATCCCGACCCTGACGCCTGCTGTATATTTGGAGTTTGCGTGTCTCTCTCTTTCTCTCATTGTCATCACGGTGGCTAGGAGATGTTAATTACCTCGCCTGGTATGCAGGAGGTCATGGGTTCGATCCCGACCCTGACGCCTGCTGTTTATTTGGAGTTTGCATGTCTCTCTGTCCCCGTGGTCGCTTGGATTCTTTCTCCGGGTCCTCTGGTTTTTCCCTCCACATTTAGAATCAACATGCATTTAGAATATTTGACTGCTATAAATTTCCACATGAAAAGGCCAATTTGTTGAGCTATCATTTGTGGCCAAGTTGCTTCTGAAAAAGAGCTTTATTGCTAAGTGGTCCTTACCCGCTAAATAAAAAAAATAGTTTTGGTTTAACACATCCAACCAGTAGCTTATGACATCCACGTGTGTCGTCTAGAAAATCCCGTGGCTGGCATTGATGGCTTTTGCCAAGTTGGGCGTTCAATATTTAAGCGCATGACGCGCTTTGCCAAAAAAGGGAAGGAACAAGCTGGTGAGGGTTTACGGGGAAGTTGCACAAGTGAGGCAACTCTTGCCCTCGGTGTCTCACAGACATCCCAATAACGTGGAGGGGTGAGGGGGTGTCGTTTTGAAGGTGGCTCACTATCGCTTTGACAGGCATGGATTTTTTTTATGGAATAAGGCGATGGTTTGACACATACACAAAACGGAGTGCATCATCACCATCCCAGCGTGGTATTTCTCCCTTAATGGGTTAGGTGGACAAATTAATGTAATCTGAATTACAGGCCCAATTGGTTGTATATGTAGAACTTCTTTCGCACCGTGCATAGCCAACCGTGCTAATCGGAGGCACGATACGTGTTACTTGAATGACTGACGTAATATGCGCGAGTACACAGCCACTGCAGTCAATTATCCATCAGTTGTTCAACGCCTACAAACCAAGGCACAGCTGTTACTGTTTACTACTGGAGAGGCCTAATGACGGTAACGGTTGAAATCAAGAGGTCATCAAGGATAATGCCGTTCGTCCCACCACACTTCATCGCTTGCCACCTGCTGACAGATCCCGCAGGTTGGAGTGCATCCATGAATGAACCGATTACAGTTCCACCAAAGACAAATATCCCCCGTGTAGCCTCGACAGACTGTTGGGGCAAGTGCTGTTAGTGAGCACCTATGAAGGCCACCACGGCACACGAGGGGGTGGGTGGCAAGCACCACGCCCGGCCGCCTTTGTCTCCCCAATGGCGATGCTTACACACCGCAGCAGGTACTGATTTAAGGCTGAGTCGACCTAGGGGATGCCCAAGACCGGTTCAGATAATCGCCACTGGTGTTGGCCGTGAGCGGGATTCGAACTCGGGTCGCCAGGTTCGGAGCGCACCCAGCCAACCGCTCCACTACCGTTCCCCATTTCCACCACCACCATCTCCAACACCACCGCCCACTGCCACTCTCTGGCTTTTAGGCCTTACTCTCCGGCACTGTAAACATTCTCAAACCCACGCAAAGTGTTTGGCCGCTTTGTGTGTGTGGTTTTTTCTGCTTTGTCTGCGTGAACGTTTCGTATTGCTGCTGATGTAGTGACACCTGCATGATAGATTTGAAGTTTTCGTGACTGCAAGAATCCATACTCTTTGATTCTTTCGGTAAAGTCACGTAGGTGAAAAATAAATTGATCGACTCTCAACGGTGAACTCACAACGAGTTGCGAGTCGATCAATTTATTTTTCACCTACGTGACTTTACCGAAAGAACCAACAAGTTCCTGCATGATACCGACCCACCTACATCGTCGTGTCGCTGATGATCGGGCGACAGGATGGTGCAGTGTTAACAGCTAGTGCCTCGACTCCGACATCTCTGTGGCATTTGTATATTCTCCTCATGTTCGGCATGGGTTTTCTCTGGGTTTTCCAGTTTCCTCCCATAGCTAATAAACATACAGTCTAGCTTTCATTGGCCAAAATCCGCGTGCTGAAAAATTATACCACAAGCTAATCGATTGGGATCATACACAGCAACAGCAGCGAAGTCGCTCCCCTACTGCGAGAAACTTGGCAGAACCCTCCTGAAAAAAAAGAGTTGAGACTCGGTGAGCCTTTACTCGGCAGACGAGCAGAATAATAATGATGATGATGATGGTAATAAAGAAATTGACGCCTACACGTTGGTATTGTCGTCTCTGCTGCAGGGTCTCTACAGCGTCTCCGTAAACTGCATGGAAAGCGCAGAAGCCCAGTTCACGACGGCACTCAGGGTAAGTGAGAAATCGCAGTGGCCAGAGCTGCCACCACGCGCGCAATGCTTTGATCTGTCAAAGGGTGCCCGGATCTGTGCCGCTTTGAGAAGGGAGGCTCTTTGAAATTGTCTTTCCGCATTCAAATCAACCCAAGCGATCAGCCCAAGTCATCTTCTTTTTCTTCTTTCGTATATGGCCGCAGAGAAAAACAACAGTTTTGAAACATGTTGGACTTAAATGCTTCCACTTTTTTCAACCAATTCAATGAGGCAGCAGTAGATGCTACGGGTAGCAGCGACACCACCACGGTGGCGAGATGTGAACTACCTTGTCTGGTATACAAGAGGCTGCGGGTTCGATCCTGACCCTGACGCATGTACGTCTGGAGTTTGCATGTTTTGCCTGTGGTCGTGTAGATTTTTCTGCGGGTCCTCCGGCTTTTCCCTCCACATTTAGAAACGTGCATTTATAAATGTGGGTGCTGTCCATTTCCACATGATGATAAGCCGCTTCGTTGACCTATCATTTATGGACAGGTCGCTTCAGAAAAATCTATATAGCTCAGTGGGCCTTAGCTGTAAAAATAAAATAATGTTGAATCTGTTGAAAATATTGTATGGATGGTGCATTCGTCGGCAATGCGTTTGATGGTTTGGACTTCACCACTGTCGCGGTTCGGCAATTCTTCGACGTTCCATTTGCGGAATGTGTGCGCGCATCTCCCATGTTGCGTTCGAGCGTGCGGTTTAGCGAGGGGGATAGAGAAACCCGGTACTTGGACTCTGATCGGATGCAAAGTAAGCGGGCTTGGGCAGAACACGACGACACTACGAGGGACGATGGATTGGTGATGGAGGCTAATAACGAAGTGACAGCCGAAGGAAGTGAATTCGCCCCGCGAGGACATCCACAACGAGGAGGAGATGGAGCCATGAGACCGGCTGGTGTGCCGCAGCGAGATGGATTGCCGCGTCGTGTGTCTGTGTGGTGTTAGCTTGGAGAGGCCTTCATCCAGCAGTTAGATGAGTTACGGCTCGTGATGATATGACATCACTGTGTACACTACTTTCTATTGTGCCGCAATGCATATCTGCGAGCATTTGTTTGAGGAGCGATGGCAAAGTTGTCGGCACACTGTGCTACGAGCCAGGCAACCTCCGTTACATTCTCGGCCATGGCGAGCAATATCAGAACCGGTCCTAGGCCTCGCCACGGTCGATGCAGCCTTCAATGAGTACCTGGTGCAGTGTGTAAACATCAGAACAGGGGAGACAAAGGCGACCGGGAATGTTTTATGGCTACATCCATCCCGTTATGCACCTTGACGGTGTTAATAAGTGCGCGCTTAATAGCGCACGCCCCAACAGTGCGTGTGACTAAATTTGTCTTTTCTGTAAAAGTCACGTAGGTAAAAAATTTAAATAAATAAAATCACGACGTTTCGAGGCAACACAAGCTTCCATCTTCAGGTGGAACCGTCACAGCAAAATTACTTGATACAGTAATTTTGCTGTGACGGAAAGCTTGTGTTGCCTCTGAAACGTCGTGATGTAATTTCTTTTAATTTTTTACCTACGTGACTTTTTTACCGAAAAAACCCATGAATCCTTGCAGTCACGACAACTTCAAATCTAGAATGTCTTTGCATACGTTCGTCTTTGCAGTTGACGTCGCACCAGGAGCTGTGGACGTACATCGTAACGAACCTCGCGAGCGTCTACATCCGGGAGGGCAACCGGCACCAGGACGTGAGTGGCGTCCCGTAAAATATCACCGCCTCCTATCGTTACCGCTCTCGTCAGCCCGTGAACCTACCCAAGATGCCGTGCGTGCGTTCGCCTCCCGCCGTTGGTGCTGATGACATTCATTTGCAAGTTTCCAATCGATAAAGGAATGTCTTTTATTTTGTTGTTGCAGCTGTACACGTTATTGGAAAGGATAAACCCGGACCACAACTTCCCAGTAAGGTGAGTCGATGGTTACGAATTCAAGAAGCGCAAGTGGCTGTAACACGTGTACGTTTTTGCGGTCGCTTGTCATCCGAAACGCGTTTCTCTGGCATGAGCAGCAGCTTGTTGGGCATTGTTTCTTCTCTCGAGCTTTCGGCAGCAGTTGAATTGACAACTGTAGTTGGCTACCGGGGTGCGTGAAAAAAGCTTGAAAGATGAAATACTTATTTCCATTTATGAACGTATGTACGTAGCCATGTACGTAGCCAACCGTGATAATCGGAGGCATGGGGGAAGGACAACAAACTAAACACAAAAAGCAAACCATCATTGTCGGCACCCCTCGCTAACATCACGACCCATCGTCACCACCCATCATTACCACAACGCGGTAATAGTCGATGCGTTCCAACAAAAAGCGAAACCGCACGAGGAGACGGCTGTCTGCCGAGTAGCGTGTACAGTATACACACAGTACACACAATACAAACACAGTACGCACACAACCCTGTCCCACGTCTTGCCGCATGTAGAGTGAATTCAAACCGCAGAGTATCGCGAATTTTGGTAAAAATAGGGTTGGATATATATACAGCGCGAAATATCACAAGCCAAACCGGCGTAGAGCGACGGCAGAGGTCGCAACCGAGTACCCGATACCCGGCTACCCGTACCCGGCCGGGTATGGGTAGCCGTTTGCGACCCTGGTGCGGCCGGGTACGGGTAGGCCGTGAGTCACTGGTGAGTAACCGTTTGTCACTCATTTCGGGTAGGGTACGGGTAGGGAAGGGGAACCCGTACCCGGCCGGGTACGGGTTCCCATTTGCGACCCTGGTGCGGCCGGGTACGGGTAAGGAATCAAAACCCGTTTGCGACCTCTGAGCGAGGGTAAGCTGTATTGCTAAAGGCGCAACGCAGCCCCAAATAACTTGGGTTTTTTGACAGCACGTGCACGGCGATTTTCCATCTTTGGAATTTTGGCTCAATTTTATCCAGGCTATCGGTGTCGCGTCTTGAGAGGAAGAATCCATTTGGAACTCTCAGCGGTGCAACCACTCGCAACTGGAGAATGGGCCGCTGAAATAGATATCTTAGAGCTTCCGAATCCCTTCGAATTGAACCCCTGGTCCACTTTCTAGAGGTGATGGATCGCAACACCTGGAGGAGAATTCGAAACGACCCATTGATGGCTTAGCAACTACTGAGAGTAATGATCATCGCATGAGAGTCAAACCAATGTTTTACATTGTCGGAGCTAAAATGCAGCCACATTATTTGCATAACCAAGTGGGATGACAGATTTTTTGCTCAGCCATTGTTTTTTTCCCAGCTGCGACCACAATCACAGTCAGCCGGTTTAAAATTCAGCATCTCAGTGGTGGGAGCTTAGTGCTGGGACCTATCAGCTACCCAGCTATATTATTCGCAATGATTGTTTTCGTTGAAGATGGTTGTCATACTCAGAGATTAAGCGGTTGCGCTTTTGCTGCGTTGTCCCCCACCTGAAGAAGGACGCTTGTGTTGCGAACGAAACGTCGTGATTTAATTTAGTTGTTTTTTCATTTATTTTATTTTATTTTTTACCTACGTGACTTTACCGAAAAAACCAAAGAGTATTTGTACTATGAACAAAAAAATTATCGAAGCCACCAAAAAAAAACCACAATCAACCTTTCGCATATGAAAGTTTATAATTTTCACCATTAGTTTCTTCAGCAAACCATAGCCACTCGTACAATCTCCAAGTTACGATGATGAAGTTAGGTTATTTTGCTTAACCAGATGAGAAGCGACCCAGGGTGGTCTCGAGTGACCTGGATGTAACTGACATAGTTGTAGGAAAAAACAGCCGTTAAAACATTGCAGCTTAGCCGCTTTCGAAAGTTTTAAAAATGAATGATTTCTTGCCACGCACTATATAGAGATTGTACAAGCAAGCAGTGCTCTTACAGACTAGAGTTCATTACAGCATTCAAGTGTACCTATGTCAACGTTGTGAGTCATTGTCTCTCCACTGCTGGATGATGGCCTCACCCCATGCTATCGTAATCTGTTACTCTCTTGCGATGCCGTAGTCCATTTCCCTCTTACACGTGAGCTGGTCTCATCGCTCCATACTCTGCGCTGTTCATCCTCTTGTGGCGCGTTATCTCTTTCGTCTGCCATTCTCTCACCACTCCCATCCATTGGCCATCATCATCCCGTCTAGCGATGGTGTCCTGCCCAAGCATACTTCAGTATTTTAACAGTCTCTATGATATTCTTGGTTCTTTCCGCTTGTGTTGTGATGGAAACGTCGTGATTTTTTTTTATTTTATTTCAAACTACGTGCCTTTACCGAAAGAATCAAAGATTATGGATTCCTGCAGTCACGAAAGCTTCAAATCCAGATTCGTGAAATTGTTTGAGTATGTCCAACTCCACGGTACTTTTAAGGGCATTTCTTCCATGTCAAGAATGATATTTTAATCGCAAAACTAAGTGGTTGACATACTACATCCAAGTATAAAGCCACTTCAAGGTCATACTAATGATTACCCAGGTCTTTTAGAGTTTGAAATGTGTAAAGGTAGTCCTCGTTTCCCTTCTACGTGACTTTACCGAAAGAACCAAGAATATGAATCCCTGCGGTCACGAAAGCTTTAAATCAAAATTGAGTCTCTATGATGTCGATTATTTGTGTGTTCTCTGGTCCACGTGCTCCTTTGTCTCGGTGAAGTCCCCAATGGCGAAGCTCTCCGTGCTTCTCTGTGCCTTTTTCAGCTTTAGTTGAACTTTCTTTGTCAGTGTCCACGATTTCATCCGCACGACATAGCAGGCCGATACACACATGTCGATAGGTGCCCTTCACAGCCTGGGCCCATCTTCGCCCGATAATCACTGTGATTTCCGCACGCTCACAAAGGGGGGCCGCTAATTGCACGCTTGTGGGTAAAGGAGGGTGGCAATTCCCATTGCACGGATTTGCACCACCGTGTAATTAATTTTCGCAGGCGGTTGTGACGGCACGCTGACATTGATTGGAGCAGTGTAGTTCACTTTTTATAGATTTTTTAAAAGATATAATTCCATCAATTTGCAGAACACCAGCATGCATTTGTTTCGCTATTTAGCATTTTTTTCTTCTACTTCTGTGTGCGCCATTTGCGCTTCAGGGGGGCTCATGGCAATGAGACTCCAGCTGATTCTGACCCTGCATTGCTGAGAAACTCCTGGTCAGCTGCCCACATGCGACCAATTAAACTACGGCTACTATTTTTATTTTATTTTACGAGCAATGTAGTTATTTTTCAGAAGCGACCTGGCCACAAATGATTCCTCAACGAAGTGGCTTATCACGTGGAAATTTGGAGCAGCAGCCAAATACTCCAAACACACGTTTCTTAATGTGGAGGGTAAAACCGGAGGACCCGGAGAAAAATTCCACGCGACCACGGGGAGAGAGACACGCAAACTCCAAATATACAGGCGTCGGGATCGAATTAACGACCTGTGTACCAGGCCAGGTAGTTGACATCTCGCCACCGTGGCGTCCCCAAATTACTTTACGTCATCCAAACAAACTGACGCTGCCATCTCTCTCCATCGTTTCCTCGTTCTTTCTCGCCGTGGAGTTGTCCAAGAAAGGTGACCGTGCCGACATGGTCCCCTGAGTAAACAAAGGGAATTGAATATTGTTAAATGAACACGTGGCCCAATAAAACGCACTGCCCTTGTAGCATTTTCGTTAAAGTCACAAACTCTTGTCTTCCAAAATATATTGATATATCATACTACGAGCAGCCCTGATAGCCCTAAAAAGTTGGGCATTTGATAATTTTTCAAGTAAGTACTTTTAGATAAAAAAATGGGGAAAAAAGCCCGCAGTTAAGAACGTGTGAGTTTCCGTCACGCTAACGGAGCAGTTTCGCAAACTAGGCAGCCCTCACAGTGAACAATACACAGTGGGTGTCATTTTGAATGTAAGTTTATATCGGCTAATAAAACGTGGCTTCATATTCATCATCAGGTGTGGATTTCACACTTGATGATGATTGCTTGTGTTGCAGTCGAAACGTCGTGACAATTTTTTTTGTTTTTTATTTATGTTATTTTATTATTTCCCTTCTACGTGACTTTACCGAAAGAACCAGAATATGAATCCCTGCAGTCACGAAAGCTTTAATTAAAAAAACGTGGCTTGTTTATTTAATAAGTCTCATCGTTTGCTACACAGGTCAAACTGAATGCACACTCACCATCCGAGCATTCGTGACACAAGCAACACTAGCAGTCATCATCAGGCCTGCGATCGAAACGTCGTGATTTGTTTTATTTTATTTCTAACTACGTGACTTTACCGAAAGAACCAAAGATTATGGATTCCTGCAGTGACAAAAGCTTCAAATCCAGATTCGTGAAATTGTTTGAGTACGTCCAACTCCACGGTACTTTTAAGGGCATTTCTTCCATGTCAAGAATGATATTTCAATCTGAATCGCGAAACCAAGTGGTTGACATACTATGTCCAAGTATAAAGCCACTTCAAGGTTATACTAATGATTACCCAGGTCTTTTAGAGTTTGCAATGTGTAAAGGTAGTCCTCATTTAACGCGTTCCTGAAAAGTGCCGCGTTTAGCACACACTATTTCCACATAACTTAGGTAACGATAAAAATTTGGCGAGATACAATGTAAGCATACAAAGTAAGATGGCAGGACAAATAACTGAGGTTACGCTGCCGCGTGACTTAGACTGGTCAACAAAAAAATTTTCTGGCCTGGACTTTTGCAGCTGTTTTAGACTAATTTCAGGGTGCTGATTCCAAATCTGACCTCAGATTTGTTCTGTCACAGCTCATTTTATACTATCGGCATACCCCATTTTCATTGATTTTACCCGAAATTAACTCCGTCACTTATGATTGCAAGTTGTTGTGAGTCAGTGACTGCTTTAGTGTTAAAATATGGTGCTGTATTTTTAGGATAGCGTGTTTATAATATCATTTGATGTAGTATCCACATTTATTTAATATTTTTCTTCTGCAGTTTTTATTGAAAATGCAATATTTTATATCTCAAAAACCTGATGTGATAGACAAAAACTGATGCCAGATTTGGAATCAGCACCCCAAAATTACCTTACAACCGTTGGAATACCTTATGCCAGAAAAGTGTGACCAGTGTTATCATTCCCACATACTGTATCACACCGCTCAGCCGTGCAACTCAAAGTACATCGCCATCGTCCCCTCCGAAACCATGTTATAACGGTGCGCGTTCTGCGCTGTGCGAAAAGTGTCCCCTGAAAGAAGAAACCGCGTTCTGGTGTGAGCCACCACGCGTTAGGCGAGATCTTTCCGTACACGTCTGGAAATCGTGGAGCTGCCCTTTTGCACGCTTGTCCGCTGCAAGCGAGGTGCGTGCTTGTGTGCCAGCGTGCCCGTCACGTGGTCATGAGCGGGAGGTTCCAATCGACGGGTAACATCTCTGTCGACTCTTGTCCACAGCTCTCACTGTCTGCGGGCGGCAGCGTTCTACATCCGGGGTCTCCTCTCCTTCTTCCAGGGCCGATACAACGAGGCCAAGTGAGTGCCCACGTCATCTGTTGTCTTTGCACGATTTTCCGGGCAACTCAGTCCAAAGGGTGCCGGGGGGGGCAAAGTGTCTAGCGGCCAGCTGCAAACGGCACCCATTGTCAAATTTGCAACGGATAAGAGTGGAATACGTTTCTTGAATTGAGCAAGGCGCATTGTTCAGAAATTAATTGGGTAAAGAGACGATGGGGATGAGGGAATTCCAAAGTGGAGCAGCGTCAGCGAAGAAGCAGTAAGAGAAGCGAGAGGTGACCTGCAGTGTGGTGAGTGAGTGGGTAGGTGAGTGTATGTACGTTGAACTTCTTTCGCACCGTACGTAGCCAACCGTGCTAATAGGTGCGGGGGTTATACAACAAACTAAACACAAAGCAGTTCTGAAGAGTGTTGTTGTGACCTGCAGTGTGGTTGTTGAACAGCGTGGACGAGATGAAAAAAAACTGTCCGGTTAAGCCGAGTCCTCAACATACGTGGCGGAATCAATGAGTCAGGTTCACAGGAACATTAATCACAGTAGTTATAAAAGAGTGATAACTAGGTGACTGACCGACAGTGAGTGGCCAATCTGTGTAAATTTGCTCGTGTATATTTGTCCAGAAAACTCCCCCTAGACCGCACCACCAATGTTGGTGAATGAGGATTCGTATGAAGATGTACGATGTTTATGCAAACGCTGTTGGAAATGTATAAATACATATCTCTGACCCAGCTTTGATGAGCTGCATATCTGCTCTACGAAGCTGCGTGCATCTCTTACTAGGCCTCGGCAAGGTAAGGTAAATTACCTTTATTACCGGGTAAAGGTTTCGACATGCCAAGGGGTAAGATAAAGAGTAGGGTAAAGGTAGCTCAGAAGAATTACCCGATAGGGTAAGGGTAGGGCGAATTATTACCCGGTAAATACAGTACCTTGTTTACCGCTAAAAGTTCCGTGGCGCAGTTACGCAGTCCGTGGCCTCCATTTTAAAGTGATGGCGGAGCACATGGAGACGGTCCACGTTCTTGAGGTCGAGGTACTAGAGGACGAGGATGCCAGCAACGGCTTTTTTGGGGTTGCTGCGAACAGCAATCGAAAGAGGCAGCGGTATGCGTTCCCGTGGGAGCACACACGCGATTGGATGGAGGGTGATCCGCATGCACAGCAAGGGAAGCGGCAGTGCGTGCACTGCCGCAAGTGGTTTTCCACCCACACGAACGCGTCGGGGTGGAAAGCCCACCTCAAGAAACACAACGTGCTCGCCCCAGGCAGCGAGGTCGGGACGTCGGCATCGGCGAGCCGCCTAATACAGCAAACGCTGAGCCGGCCAGCAATCCCGGATCGCCTCCTGGTAAAGTTTGAGAACGCGGTGGTGGATTTTGTTATCCAAGGTGCGATCTCTTTGCGAGCCGCCGGCAGCGACAAGTTCAAGACCTTGGTCAACACATTGACGCAGGGATACGAGGGCCCATCGACCCGCACCATCATTCGCAGGATTGTCGAGCATCACGCCATCATGCTGCCCATCGTCGGGGCGTTCTTCTCCAACCTGGACGTCGCCATCTCGCTCACCATCGACGGGTGGTCGAACCGCAACCTGAAGGGATATTGGATGGTCACGGTGCACTGGATCGACAGCAAATCTGGTGTGTCAAAATCCATGCTGCTGACAATCCTCGATGTGCAGTCCGGAAGGGGTGTCAGCAAGCGCATTGGGGCCGCTCTGTTTGAGCACCTCCAAAGCCTCGGGCACAATATCTTGACCAAGCTGCTCGCTGTCACCAGCGACAATGGCTCCGATGCGAACAGTGCTGTCAAGACGTTCGCCCTGGTCAACGTGGACGCCGGATATGAGCAGTTGCGGGCTTGCCACCATATTCGATGTGTGGATCATTCCGTCCAGATCGGTGTCGTCCAAGTTCTAAAACTGATCAAGTCAACAAATGCCGAACTGCGCAAGGCGCTCGTCAATACCAGGTGCAGCAAGGTCGTCCGGCAGTCGTACCGCCGCGAAGCTGAGATCGCCAAGCTCACCAGCAAGGAGCCGACGCACCAGGACTCGCCGACCAGGTGGCATTCGACGTTTGACACGGGCGACGACGCCATCAAGAAGCGTGTCCCATTGGACATTATCATGGCGCGCTTCCAGGATGTGATCGGTGTCGGTGCTTTATCTGAACTGCAGTGGGCAAACATCGAGGGCGTGACAGCATTCCTGCGAATGCCGCGCCAGGTTTTGGCCTCGTTGTCGGCGGACCACAATTCGACATTGGATCTCGTGCCGGTGACGATGGAGCACCTCGTCCGTCATTGCGATCACGGTGAAGCCGCCCTTAGAGCGATCGATGAGCCCTTGACTGCGACGGGGATGAAGGCCGAACTGGTGCGGTACCGCCACCTACGGGTTCAGGAACCCGCCATTGTGGCATCCTTCTTGAATCCACAGCTGCCGAAAACGACAGACCAAGACGAGCTGGCTACACGGAAGGCCACAATCCGCTCTGTCCTGCAGCATTGCTACTCGGACGTGCTCATGATCTCGCCGACGGCAGTTGCTGCCCATATGGAGGAGCGGTCGCTGTTCAGCACCCTGTTCAGCAACGTCGGCAACTCCATAGACGACGGCGATGAAGTCGATCGTTTTATGAGCATGGGCGTCACGACCGCCAGCGCCTTCATTGACGTAATGCAGTGGTGGTTTCTCCGCAAAGAGCTGCTCCCCGCCCACTACAAGATGGCCTGCGACTACTTGGGAGCGCCGGCGACGTCAACTCCCTTTGAACGTGCGAATAGCGGAGCCGGGCGGGAGTTCACATGCGTTCGCCAGTCGCTGTCAACGACGCTCTTCATAAAGTCCATGTGCTTGCGCTCATGGATCACGGCCGGCTGCCTGAAGGTTCCGTCTAACTGGGCTGGAGCGGCGCAGGATCTTATTGTCTGTCGTCCGTCCAAGGATGATGGCAATGACGAACTTGATCAGGTTGTTGATGAGATAGCCATCGACCAAGACGACTGGGACGAGGAGGTTATTGAGGACGGTGTCGTCGACAACCTAAACGCCCGATTTGAGAGTATTCTATATGAATAAAGCGTCTTCTTGGTTCTTTCGGTAAAGTCACGTAGAATGGAAATAATAAAATATTAAAAATAAAACATAATAAAATAATTCTCACGACGTTTCGGCCACAACGCAAGCAGACGTCCTCAGGTGAAGACCAGGTCTGTTGGGGAGACAGCGTCTGAATGAAACAGCACCATGCTTGGAGCGTATATTTAATCTGGGTTAGAAGGGAGGGAAAGGGCGGCTTGACAAAAGAATTTGCATATCAAGAGGAATTTAGCATATTTATGGAAAATGCAGGTATGTGATTAGTACTACTTATGCCCGTGCATTATGCAGGATTAGCAGCATCAAAAGGAGGGGATAGGGGTAGCATTAATAAAGGGAAGAAGTGTTAATAGTATGTAGCTGCAGTAACTAAAACCCCACGTAAACAACTAAAGTATAAACTACATAGTATCATCAGTATACTAAATATACTCTAAAATAAGCTGAGTTACTAACAGTAAGTAATGCATTACAATTATACGTCGTAAAAAATATAATATGCTTCCATCACACGAGTCTACACCGTACTATATACTGCCATAGACAAACCCAACATTATTGCTATAAACCACACAAACTCCACTCAACATCCTGGCACCAGACAAACGCCACTCTACATCCTGGCACCAGACAAACTCCACTCTACATCCTGGCACCAGACAAACTCCACTCCACATCCTGGCACCAGACAAACTCCACTCTACATCCTGGCACCAGACAAACTCCACTCTACATCATGGCACCAGACAAACTCCACTCTACATCCTGGCACCAGACAAACTCCACTCTACATCCTGGCACCAGTCAAACTCCACTCAACATCCTGGCACCAGACAAACTCCACTCTACATCCTGGCACCAGACAAACTCCACTCTACATCCTGGCACCAGAAAAACTCCACTCTACATCCTGGCACCAGAGAAACTCCACTCTACATCCTGGCACCAGACAAACTCCACTCCACATCCTGGCACCAGACAAACTCCACTCTACATCCTGGCACCAGACAAACTCCACTCTACATCATGGCACCAGACAAACTCCACTCTACATCCTGGCACCAGACAAACTCCACTCAACATCCTGGCACCAGACAAACTCCATTCTACATCCTGGCACCAGACAAACTCCACTCTACATCCTGGCACCAGACAAACTCCACTCTACATCCTGGCACCAGTCAAACTCCACTCAACATCCTGGCACCAGACAAACTCCACTCTACATCCTGGCACCAGACAAACTCCACTCTACATCCTGGCACCAGACAAACTCCACTCTACATCCTGGCACCAGAGAAACTCCACTCTACATCCTGGCACCAGACAAACTCCACTCCACATCCTGGCACCAGACAAACTCCACTCTACATCCTGGCACCAGACAAACTCCACTCTACATCATGGCACCAGACAAACTCCACTCTACATCCTGGCACCAGACAAACTCCACTCTACATCCTGGCACCAGTCAAACTCCACTCAACATCCTGGCACCAGACAAACTCCACTCTACATCCTGGCACCAGACAAACTCCACTCTACATCCTGGCACCAGACAAACTCCACTCTACATCCTGGCACCAGTCAAACTCCACTCAACATCCTGGCACCAGACAAACTCCACTCTACATCCTGGCACCAGACAAACTCCACTCTACATCCTGGCACCAGACAAACTCCACTCTACATCCTGGCACCAGAGAAACTCCACTCTACATCCTGGCACCAGACAAACTCCACTCCACATCCTGGCACCAGACAAACTCCACTCTACATCCTGGCACCAGACAAACTCCACTCTACATCATGGCACCAGACAAACTCCACTCTACATCCTGGCACCAGACAAACTCCACTCTACATCCTGGCACCAGTCAAACTCCACTCAACATCCTGGCACCAGACAAACTCCATTCTACATCCTGGCACCAGACAAACTCCACTCTACATCCTGGCACCAGACAAACTCCACTCTACATCCTGGCACCAGACAAACTCCACTCTACATCCTGGCACCAGACAAACTCCACTCTACATCCTGGCACCAGACAAACTCCACTCTACATCCTGGCACCAGACAAACTCCACTCTACATCCTTTCACCAGTCAAACTCCACACTACATCCTGGCACCAGTCAAACTCCACTCAACATCCTGGCACCAGACAAACTCCACTCTACATCCTGGCACCAGATAAACTCCACTCTACATCCTGGCACCAGACAAACTCCACTCTACATCCTGGCACCAGACAAACTCCACTCTACATCCTGGCACCAGACAAACTCCACTCTACATCCTTCACTATACAATTACGATACTATATATTACTTTGTACATTGTATTAAGAATATACATTTTATACTATTTGTTATTATACACTGTACCATATACAGCAGTGTGATATACATTAGGGTGGGTAGAATAATACATATTGTTTAAGGTATAGGTTGGTTTATAGCAATACAGTATATAATTTAATGTTGGGTTTGTCTATGGCAGTACATCGTACAGTGTAGACTCGTGTGATGTAAGAGAATAAAGTTTAGATGGAAGCATATTATATTTTTTACGACGTAGAATTGTAATGTATTACTTACTGTTAGTAACTCAGCTTATTGTAGAGTATATTTAGTATACTGATGATACTATGTAGTTTATACTTTAGTTGTTTACGTGGTGGTTTTAGTTACTGCAGGTACATACTATTAACACGCCTTCCCTTTATTAATGCTACCCCTATCCCCTCCTTTTGATGCTGCTAATCCTGCATAATGCACGGGCATAAGTAGTACTAATCACATACCTGCATTTCCCATATCCCCTCCTTTTGATGCTGCTAATCCTGCATAATGCACGGGCATAAGTAGTACTAATTACATACCTGCATTTCCCATAAATATGCTAAATTCCTCTTGATATGCAAATTCTTTTGTCAAGGCGCCCTTTCCCCCCCTTCCAACCCAGATTAAATATACGCTCCAAGCATGGTGCTGTTTCATTCAGACTCTGTCTCCCCGACAGACCTGGTCTTCACCTGAGGACGGCTGCTTGCGTTGTGGCCGCAACGTCGTGAGAATTATTTTATTATGTTTTATTTTTATAATTTTATTATTTCCATTCTACGTGACTTTACCGAAAGAACCAAGAAGATGAATCCCTGCAGTCACGAAAGCTTTAAATCGAAAAATGAATAAAGCGCTCTAACTAGCATTTATCGTTAAACATTTTTTCCATGTTTTTTACCCCAGTAATTACCCTGTAATCGCGAAATTTGTATGGGATAAGGGTAAAAGGTAATGTAAAGGTAGGCTCGTTCTATTTTTTACCTTTTACCTTACCTGCTAAAGGGTAAAAGGTAGTGTAGCGCTATTGTATTGTGGTAAGGTAAAAGGTAGGGTAAAGTTTCTCTTGTTTTTTTACCGTTTAACTTTTACCTTACCTTGCCGAGGCCTATCTCTTACTCCGGTGTGGGCTGTGAACCTACGACTACTTAAGAGGCTGATGCTGTTTGCACGTCTCGCGTGACCTGCACTTGTGACGTCAGATGGGCACGTGGTAACGGTGATGACGTGCTCCCATTGCCCACCTGACAGGCGGTTTCTCAGAGAGACGTTGAAAATGTCGAACGCGGAGGATCTGAACAGACTGACGGCGTGTTCACTCGTGCTGCTGGGGCACATCTTCTACTCGCTGGGAAATCACAGAGTAAGCAGTGTGTGCGTGTGTGTCTGCGCGCGCCTGCGTATGTGCGTGCGCGCGCGTGTTTATGTGCGTGCGTGCGGCAACTGGTAGTGGAACAGTTAACACGCTGCACTACGAACCTGGTGACCCGGGTTCAATTCCAGTTCATGGCCAACACCAGGTCACAATTTTCTGAACTGGTCCTGGGCCTACCCGATGTTGACTCTGCCTCAAACGAGTACCTGGTGCAATGTGTAAACATCGCCACTGGAGAAACGATGGCGGCCGGGCGTGGTGTTGGCCACCCACTCGCACATGTGCCGTGCCAGCCTTCATAGGCGCTCGCTAACAGCACTTGCCCCAACAATCTGGTAAAGCTATATGGAGGATCTTTACCTTTGCAATAAGTGCACACCTCAAAGTGAGCCAAACCTGGGCACAGAACGCAAACGGCCATTAAGTGGCGAATGACGGTCGTTGTTTGTGCCGGCGTGGGGAGTGGTGGCGTCGCGATTGGCGCGCAGCTGCACGACGAACAGGTCGGGTGCATGGCGAGTGATGTAGCCAGGCCCTTCCAAGCTGATAGGAATGTAAAGTTGAGTGGCGGATAACACTGCTGGTGCAGCTTTCAGACAGCAGAGGGCCTTCTTGAAACATGTGCTGCCTCGAAATTATAACCACCGCCCGAGAAAAGATGCCTGTATTCATCGCTGCACTGAAGTTGGATGCTCTTTAAATCCACGCTGAGTTTAAGTGTTCTGAGAATTGGCAGGTCGTGTTCAATTGAAGCTGTAATTTGGGTGCCTTTTGGGAGTTAAAATAATTATTCCGGGGTTCCAGTCATCTGTGATTAAACCGGTCTCTCAAATAATTGCTGAAAATATCATCTTAGTTTGGCTTGTCACTTGATTTGGCAGAATTCTTGCTCTGAGATATTATTATTACATTTATTGGATATGAAAAAAATAAGAATAGGTTTTTACCCTTTCTTGCAATACAACGGGTGTTAAGATGTTGGAACACCAAATAGAAACCTTTTGCAAGGAGTCATGTCTGCATTGACCACACGTACCGGTGAACATGCAAGCAAAAACACCCGCCGATAATGTATGCATTGGATTTATTGCCGTGCAATCACATAAAAAAATGACGGCTGACGTGATTTCCCGAGTCGTCTATACGACGCTGCCTTGCATCGTCGTTCTAACACGACATGACGTTTTAAAGCTGCTCCCAAGTGAGAGTTCTAAATAAGGATCGGAGGGGGGGTGGGGGGGAGTTTAGAGGTGTCATTGGCATCTTCTTGGAGCACAATCGGAATTTAATCAGCGGCGAGGGGGGGGCGGTAACAAAATAATGAGTGGCGGAGGCTCGCCATGACCCGATCTTGCTGATCCTAGCTTCCAATTAAATGTGGTTCGCGTGCAGGGTGCCCTTCTCCCGTGCGCCAGCTATTCCTGTCCTGCAAATTGACGCCTCTCCTTTTTTGGAGGCATCCGTACGCTTTTCCCATGCGTTAAAATTTTTGCTTAGTTTTTTTTTTAACTTACAATTTTTACAAACAAAATGTTACTTTCTCGGAGCCCTCCGGAGATAGAGGGGAGGAGGAGGAGGGGGGGGAGAGGCGGTGCGTCGGTCCTCGTCCGCAAATTCTCCCAAGAGTCGTTTTTCCCTCCGGCGCCATCGAACTTAGAACGTTCGGCTGTGTCGGGGCCAAAAGAGGTCATCGCAGGTCAATGCCATCGGTGTAACCACACCGCGCCATCGATTCCTTCCTCCTGCTAGATCCCACAGCCATTGCAGAGTCGTCACCCCGCTTCCAAGGGCTGCTTTTACAGTCTCATCACCACTCTTTGATTTAAGGTTTTCCCCATGTGTTCCCAAAGTCAACATGCCCTGCCACGACCGCTCTTTAGAGTCTGATCATCATCATCACCCCCATCTGGCTTTGGGGTCTTCCCCTTAGTCACCAACTTCTGGTTGCCACGAACATGCGTTTCTTGGTGCCTTGCCCCCTTCTCCACTACCCACACAACCTCCTCCTCCTCCTGCTACATTTCATTCCCAACCTCAAGGTTGCTGACCCTATCCTTCATAATGCACGCATGTCCCACCCATCACAACCTCCTCTTTAGTGATTTCATCTCCAACACTCGCTTGCCACATTCTATAATGAGCTACTCATTGTCTGATGTTATCTGCCATGAAGTTCCTTCTTGTTTAGTTACTGGGTTCTGTTTTCAAGTCTTGACTTATAGAGTTACAGATATTACTTCGTGGTGATGATGTTAACACCTTAATAGATAATCTGGCACTCACAGAAACCACAAAGCATAAAAAATAGGGGGAACGGTGGCGCAATAGTTTGCGCACTGCTCCATGAACCTGGCGACCCGAGTTCTCGCTTCCCTGCCACGGCTGGCTGGCTAGCATCAGCCGTGAGTAGCATCTGGACCATTTGCACAGCCTGGGGTGCGTGCGCGTACGAGATAAAAATATGTGTTTGTCTTTGCGTTGTGTCGGTTCGTTAATATCGCCGACTCCTCCGCCGCCTGACTTGGCGCCCGTCTTTAAATAGAGCCCCACCCCGGGTGAATCGCGGCGAGCGATGTGAAAGTCCGGACGCACATCGTACAGAACGCCGTTGATGCGGGACATTCAATACGATGAGCGGAAGTGCGATTTTACGTTGCCGCGCCGGGCAGAAGGGGGTGGGGAGGGGGGGTGTGTAGGGGTGAAAGGAGATCCAATAATCCGATCTGCTGTGCTGCCAAATTAGTTTACCCGCGCGCATTAGCCCACCGCAATTATGCGTTGTGCGAGGCGGTGTCACTCACGCTGACCACTCCTGTGACGACAGCAGCGCAGCTGGGCTCTGTTACAGGAGGGAGGACAGAGCCTTGACGTAAACAATCGTGTGATTATATTTTTTATATATTTTGTCCCCTCTCCTGGAATGGACTGGATGCAGGCCCCCCCCTCCCCCCACCTCGCCCCCCCACACTGTGTCATTCACGGTGGGAATTATTTGACCATACTTCACCACACTGGTCGGTGTGGGTTGGTGGAGGTGGTGGACAAGCCCCAGGAGTTCCATCCTGTGGAGAGAGCCGCAGGGGAGAACGAGCGACCGTCGTTGATTTGATGAATCTTGACAATTATTCGAATCCCTTAATAAATGCCTCGTAGCCAGCGGGGTCACGAGTCGCTGACCTCTTAGCACAGGAGGGGAGGCTCTGATATGGATGGCTCTGCCTTCACTGGGCGGCACTTGGGCATTGTGCCTAAAACTCAACATCACTGTGACTTAAAACAATATGTTTTGATTGCTAAGCAAGCTTTTAAGTCATGTCAGCCCGGGACACACATTCCTTGCATGTATCTAAAAAATAACAGCGAAAGTTTTGTTGCCTTTTGACTTATTCTAAGATTTGGATTTCAATTCGTTTGGCAGGTTTTTGTGCGGTATAGCTCATCTTTGTATATTTGATCCGAAAGGCGTAACTGATGGTAAGACTGCCACTCGCAAAACGTAGAAAAAGACGAACCAGGCAACTGCACAGGCCATCGTGCAATGGTTCTCCCCCCCGCCCCCCCCCCCCATGGGTTGCATGAGTTGTGCCGTCTGATTGTTATTGGGCCCACAAGTCAGCCGGGCACCACGGTGGCGAGATGTGAATGACTTTGCCTGGTATAAAAGGGGTCGTGGGTTTGATCCGGACCCATGACGCCTGTATGAAGTTTGCATGTTCTCCCCATGGTCGCGTGGATTTTTATGCCGGTCCTCCGGTTTTCGCTCCACATTTCCGAAATATGCATTTTTAGTATTTGGCTGCTTTCAAACGATCGACCACTTCGTTCGGCTATCATTTTTGGCCATGTCGCTTCTGATAAAGAGCTATTTAGCTCTGTTTGGTAAAATAAATAATAGTTTTTAATCGTTTATAGAGTAACGCACGTGACGCACCCTCGCAAGGTCGTGAGTTTAAATCCCGGTTGGGTGAGTCGACCCACGCTATCATCTCTCTAATGAGTCTATAAAATGAATGAACACCACTTTGTGGGAAATCAACAGTTGTTGTCCTATGGACAGGCTGGCCCTCGCCATAGGAATGTGTAATTTCCACAACTTTCTCAGGGCCGCGAGTGGAGATGATTGCTGCCCTCATTGTGCTCGCTAGGGCTGGGCGACGGTCTGACTTTGATCCTTGAAGTGGGGCGTCGATATTTGCGCATTGCAGGACGTCCACTTTGTGTATTCGCTAAACGGATGGAAAAAAGAGATTACCAGCTGGGCGCATGCGATGAAATCTGATTGTTTTGAGTTGGGGGGGGAAAAAAAATACAAGCATGCATTAATAGGAAATCTAATCAGAAAACATAACCCTGTGGTGGTTTTGCAAATTTGAATAAACTCTTCCATGCACGGGCTCGCATAAGAGTGATGGATTTATTTATTTGACGATATTAATGCTCGCTGCAGACCCATGCAAGGCAGTGTAATTTCTTCTTCCTCCGTGACACCGGGTCTCTCAAGGGGAGGATTGCTATCGTTTTCCACCCACTGTGATAAGCCAATTAGAGAGAAAGCAGCGACATTGTATTGACCCGCTGAGAATTTTCACCAGAACTCTACCGTTAAACCCTGCGCCCCATTATCCAAGAATTGCTCGGGGGACATCTTTTGTGTCCGCAGGGTAAACTGACCTTTATTTTATTGTTTCGCACACACGCACGCCGCAGACTGACGACCCCGACGGCACTGGCAAAACACCGCCGCGCCAGTTATCGCGGTCGTGCCGCCGCTGTGCTCCGGTTGAGCCGCGTGCTGTTTTCGGCACGGTTACCCGACGTTGCGCCCCACGTCATCATCGTCGGGTGGCGGAGGGCCTCGGTGACACACAAATTTTGTCGGATAATTCACTACGTGGCCTAACACATAACCCCCCCCCCACCCAAAACAAAAACCTAATTTTGAAATGTTGTAATGTTGTAATGTGACGATCCGGCCCCCGTCGCTCGCTCGGGCAGTGAGTCGCTTTCTCTCGACCTTTAACCTCTTGGCTCAGTGCAGTCAACACCCGAGCGTTTTTACAAGTTGAACTTTGTAATCGCGGGCTAAAACAAAACCAGGCTTCTTCATTCCGCTGTTACGAATTGTGTAGTGGTTGCTATCTAGACACAAGCCTGAGGGGCGGGGCATCCTCCTTTTTGAGCAACGCTTAAGTAGGCTGTAATTCTGTAAACCTAACTTGAACTTTCTGAGCATATAAAATATATCAATTTCTGTAGTGCAGTGTACTAGCTGTGCCTCGCATTCATGGAGCAGGATAGTACGCTCGCATGTGCTGTGTGCACAGTGTGTGTGTGTGATTTCTAGTATTCGAAGTCCCTAGTGGCTACGTACCTGGATTGGCTTGGCGTCATTACTGGTATCATCCGTCAGAAGTCCCAACACTTTATCCAGATTGTGCGGTCGGCGTCGCGTCACGCGACAAAGAATCGCGGTGCAACTCTCGGTGTTAAGAGAACAACCCGCAGAAGCAGACGTCGTAGAACTACCTCTGAGATCCCTTCATCGAACTCCAGTCTACACCGTAGTGGGCAGCCTATTCCTACTCGGTGAAATTTGGCCAAATCAAGTGGAGAACCAAGTTTAATATAACTGAATATTTATTTTTGGTGTAGTCAAGTTCAAGTTCATTTATTAGGTATAGCCCTGTGAGCCATTCGGCTCTTGAATCAGGTGCAACCGCAACAAACAAAAAACATGAACAAGAAAACATCTTAAAGTGACTATGTGCAAACAGAAAATCCAAGAAAAGACAGCAAAATATTGCAGAAAAAGCACCGTACACCAACACTGTGCAAAAATCCCAGTGGGATGCAAGTCAAACATCAACAACCACAAGACAACTTAGATTAAGGCCATCAGTCTAACTCTGTACTACAACAAACAAACATGGCCAAACCGAAAAACTTTTCGAAAATCACCTAAATAAATCCATAAAAGCAATGGTTCACCAGTTTGAGAACATCAATTCTCCGAAACTTGTAAACCTGGTTTCATTGTGGGCAGCTGCCTGGAGTCGAACCCAGGGTTTCTGCTGTGCTGGCGTGGCACTCTGACCTCTTGAGCCTTCTGGCCACCTCGAAATTCCACGTTCCTATTGCAACTCGGCTCACCTGAGTTCGATGCCCGCTCACGGCCAACTCTGTCGGTGACGAGTATCTGAACTAAGTTGCGGGCATGCCCAGATCCTGTTGCGGTGCGTCGGTCTTAGAAAATAGTGTCCCCCCCCCCCCCTCTTTCCCTTGCCCCTTCCTCCCATTTATGTTAATTACGTTCCTCTTTGCCCCCCCCCTCCCCCATATGAACTTTCACTTCTCTGCTAGAGCCCCCCCCCCCACCTGGGGCAGTGAGCCCAATCCACGCCCCCCTTCACTAAGCCCTGCATTGCTGATCTTGGACTGTGTTTGTCGAATTTCTGCCCCCCCCCCACCACCACTCCTTGTTCTGTGATCGATGCTCTGTACCAGGCTCGCATTGGCTTGAAAAAAAATAATTAATGGTGCTCACTAACAGCACTTGTCCGCAGCAGTCTGTTCAAGGCTATAACTCGTCATTGTGCGCTGTTTTACAGGAAAGCAATAACATGGTGGTGCCGGCCATGCAGCTCGCCAGCAAAATCCCCGACGTGTCCGTGCAGCTGTGGTCATCGGCTCTCCTCAGAGGTGAGTGTGGACGGGGAGGGAGGAGGGTGACGCAGTGGCCGTCCTTGCCACCGTCCTCGCCTTTTGTTAACCGCGTCGACGTCACAAACGATGGCGTCGCCACCGTCAACTTCGGTGTCGCCGACAGCTCGATCGTCGGCGTTGACCACGGCGCGATCGTTACCGTCCTCATTCGCAACGTTGTCGTCATCGTTGTAAACGGAATTATGAAAGACGTCGTTAAACGGCGAGTATCGTCACCATCATCATGAAAAAGTATCATCGCCGTCGCTGGCAGTTCACAGCATCGTCGGCGTCACTGTCATTCACCGAAACAACAACACCGCCGTCGTCGTATGAATGGATTGCGTGCCAGTCACTTGTTGTCCATGCGGCGCTCGTGTGAAATGCCAGTGCCGCTTGCCGTCTGCGTGCAGCTGTTAATGGACACTGTGCCACTCGGCAGGATATATCGGACGTCAACAGGCGTAATACAGAAAGGCTATTATTATTTTATGTTTCATTTTATTTTTCTACCTACGTGACTTTACCGAAAGAACCAGCCAGCCTGTCCATAGGACAACAACTGTTGATTTCCCACAAAGTGGTATTCATTCATTTTATAGACTCATTAGAGAGATGATAGCGTGGGCCGACTCACCTAACCGGGATTTAAACTCACGAGTACAGAAAGGTTGTCGGGCAGGCATTGTGGGTTTCCGTCTCGCCATTTTAGGCTTGAGTCAATTGATTTTCTCAGTGGGTGCAGTGGTAGCACGACTTTGTTCGTCACAATATTAATGCGGTTTCTGTGAGAGGTGTCAGGGTGTCCTTGGGGGTCAGAGCACCGAGACAGCAAAACGGAGACCCTGGCTTCAAATCCACGTTTCAGCAGCCTGTGAATAAACCGGGTTTCTCAAGTGCAGTGAGCTCATTGGCTTAACACAGAAACCCATAGGCTTACACATAGACCTATAGACTTACACAGAGACCTATAGACTTACACAGTGGACCCATAGGCTTACACAGAGACCCATAGGCTTACACAGAGACCCATAGGCTTACACAGAGACCCATAGGCTTACACAGAGACCCATAGGCTTACACAGAGACCCATAGGCTTACACAGAGACCCATAGACTTACACAAAGACCCATAGACTTACACAGAGACCCATAGGCTTACACAGAGACCCATAGGCTTGCACAGGAGACCCATAGGCTCGCATAGAAACCCATAGACTTGCGTAGTTTTACGTGTGATTTGCCTGAGTTTTCGAATGTAGTGCTTTTATAATCTCCACCCAGTTGCCAATGACCGCACAAAAAAACATATAAAATTTTGGTTCTGTGCTTAATTTGGCTAAACTCGAGCACTGGGAATTTAACATTGTCTGTCTGACCTTCAGCTCACGAACACGACTCTATCGTAGGGTGGTTGGAAATGTCATGTGGATAAGAAATCACTCGAAGGGATCTCCAGAAGTACTATGATTTCACTTTCCTCGGGCTGTTCTCTGATACGGGGTGATGCACGACTCTCTCATAGTTCTGAATGGACACTCGGGGTCATGGACTTGATGCCTATAGCGCAATTGAAATTTAAGTGGCGGGGAATACAAAATTGAAAAAGAGTTAAGAAAATGCCATTGCTCTGAGCAAATAACATTTTTACTCGAGGTCATAATCCGGTTGGGGAGAGTTGCAATAGCTGTCATGACAGTTGATGGGCTCGCCAAATGGCAGTTTAGGTGGTGGGGGTGTGAGAGGTGGGGAGGTGAAACTCATGCTGACCGAGAACCCCTGATGGACGGAGGTGTTGCTGGCGGTCCATGAAGGATTACCTCCACAACGTCTCCCGAACATTCTGTTTTGTTTGTTTCACCATCTCAGGACTTGTCAGTGGAGACGTGCAAAATTCAAGCCCAGCGCTCGGCTGAAAAGAGACGACATTTTTTTTTTGCTGCATCCGTCGCTTTGTTTTTTTTTATGTTTACGAAAGCCTTCGTTGTTCTGGAGCGACGGAATTCGGCTCGTGCGCAGGTGCAGGGCGGAATCTTAGAATCGCAAAAGATGGTGAGAGCTGGTGGCGAGTCCTTGGTTATTATTAATATTGTTTACGTTTTCATAAGGCGCAGCAGACCCAGCAAAGGGCTTCAGAGCACCGTAGAGAAAGAAAAAACATCTCTAACATATCTAACATATCATAGACAATACGTAGGTTTTTAGTTTCTTTCTAAATAGGAAAATCTCAGTGGTCGGGCGCAGAGAGCATTCCATATTTGAGAGCCACGGTCCGAAAAGGTCCGAGTTCCGAAAGTTTTTTGCCGAAAGCGTGGCTGACAGAGGAGCATGGTGTGTGAGGCCACCATCCAGCAGCCAATTTATCTCGGCCCATGACGACGATGTTTCTTATTCTGTTCCCCCGTGCTCAGATCTGAACAAGGCGTGCGGCAACAGCTTGGAGGCGCACGAAGCATCGCAGATGCATCAGAACTTCTCACAGCAGCTCCTCAATGACCACATCGAGGCCTGCAGCTTGCCCGAGCACAACCTCATTAACGTGAGACCATCATCGTTTGCGTTGTTTGTGTTTGTTTTGTACGTTGAACTTCTTTCGAACCGTACGTGGCCAACTGCGCTAATCGCAGGCGCGAGGGGAAGGACAACAAACGCAATTAGTTTTAAATTAGTTTTAAATCAAGATTGAAAAGTGAATAGCTCCGGTGGCTTTCAAATATCGGAATGAAGAGCATTCCAGACTGCTGCAGAAGCGCATCTGAAAGCGCGCTGTGCGGTGACCCTCTTTGTTCGATGGCTGGCCAAAAGCCGCCGCTGTGGTTGATGACCGGAGTTCGAGTGACGGTTTATCATTGGAATCGTTGCAATGATTGGTGTAATCCCCGATTGGCATAGCAATCCCATCATAACCAAATTCGGGTTGTTGGGTTCAAAATGTAGTGAGCTAACCACTGTGCCACCGCTCCATCCCACTATGTTGGCTCGGCCTTAAACGAGCAGCTGGTGAACATCGGCAGTGGAGAGACAAAGGCGTCCGAGCAAGCTATGGTGCTCACCACACCACTCGCTTGTTTGCCATTCTGGCCTTAGTTGAAACTCGTCGCCAGTACCTTCCCCGTATAATCTATAAAGGCCATGAGACACTCATGGCAATTTCGCGGCAATCATTGTCGGCAGTCATCATGGTAAATGGTGTTCCGTACCTTGGTCTATTATTGGATGATTCGTTTCCCAAAGCTGATTGCTGCTCCCCGCTCGTGAGCAACCGAGATGGCAACTTCCAAAATAGACTTGGAGGCCCGAGGTCAAATGGCTCTCCCAGGTTTGCAGTCTGCACACTCTTCAACCAACTCTGTTATCATTGGCTGGACACAGCTCCCATTGCTCGTATGTCGGCAATCTTCCGCTGTGTTTTCCGGTCGGCCACACGGTGAAATTCGTGTGCCCTGGCAGGCCACGTGACGTCATGTGTTACGACGTCACATTTTGCGTCAAGGCGGTCCGTCCATGTGGCCGCTAATCTGTTCCGATTTGTCTCCAGCTCTCCCATCTCTCTCTCGAGTCTCTCATCTCATTATTCTGCCTCTCTTGTCTAAAGCCCTTTCATCTCCAGTTTTTGTTTGTGTTTCCTTCAACTGACCGATCTGTCTGGTCGTGTCTTGACGGGCCGGGAATTGATGGGTCGCTCCACGAGCCCTCTGGCACGGGGGGCCGCCAGGATAAGAAACCCCCCTCCTCTGTCTGATTGCCACACGAGTTGCCATAGTTGCTCGCAATTATCGCTTGGTTGCTGCAGGTTGCCCTGAAACCGCACCCAGTGCATCGTGGCTTGAACTGGTGATTGGTGGGGGGATCTCGTGTGTTTGTGTGTGGAGCGGTCGTGTATCGGTTTGCGCACTGCTCTACAAACCTGGCAACACGGGTTCGATTACCCGCTCACGGCCAACAACAGTGACGATTATCTGAACCGGTCCTGGGACTCTCCGAGGTCGACTAGGCCTCGAATGAATCCCGAGTGTGGTGTGTAATCGTCGCCACTGTGGAGGCAAAGGTGCCTGGGCGTGGTGTTGGCCACCCACCCCCTCGTGTGTCGTGCCAGCCTTGATTGGTGCTCGCTAAGAACACTTGCCCCAACAGTCTGTTAATGCCACGTGGGGGATCTTTGTCTTTATCTTTGTGTGCGAGCAGTGGACGGATGGACCATTCCCCATGCAGTACCAGGCACAGAACGGGCCCAACACCAGCTTGTCGAGTTTGTTGTAGCTGGATCCGGAAGGCGGACGAGTGGAGAAGGACAGGGGTGAGAAGAGACACAGGTGCTCAAAACAAAACAAAAAAAAAACTAAAAAAATCTGCCACGAGCTCTCGCAGAGAGAGAGAGACACGTCTAAGCGGACGCTGGTGGAAACTAGTGCCCGCCCGTTTGGCGCACGAGCAACGCCTTGCTCTCAAGGGGTTGTGTGTCGGGACTCCCAGTTACGAGGGTCATGCTGGCGACGGTGGTGACGGCGATGGTGGTGGCGACGGTGGTGATGGCGATGTTGGAGGATGGTGGGGGAGGAGCGGTCGGTGATGGTGCGCGAGCGGCAATGGCGGTCGTTTTGGCGCGCTCCACACCGCCACCGCCACCGGCGCGCCACGTAGAAAGGGTCTTGGCTTGTGAACGGAACGACAGAAATATAAATATATATAAATTTTATCTGTTTTAAGTTTATATAAAGTGCAGTACCATTTACCCACTATTTTTTTTTGGCAAGTGTGCGTGTGTGCGCGGATGGGGCTGGCTTTAGCAAAGTTTTTATATGAAAAAGACGAAACGTAAAAAAAAAATTTGAAAAAAATAATTTAACCTATTCCCTTTTGTGTCTCGTTACGTTTTTGTTTATTTGTGCGCCCCCCCCCCCACCCCCTAAATTTTTAACACTCAGTTAAGTTCTCTCCGTCGTGCTGCGCCGCTGTCTGCGATTGGTTGGCACAATTTGTCAAGGGAGTTTCCTGTTCTGTTTTTTTAAATATAATAAATTCGAGATAGCTCACTGAAGGTTTTACCCGCGTGGCACCGGCTTGGAACATTGTATGGAGCACGGGGAAAAGCAAACGAAAATCACTTGCGGCGAGGGCATTTTAGCAATCTTCGAGGACAAGGAAGCGCTCACTGATTCATGCAAAGTTGGCGCTCAATGCGACGTGCAATTTGGTATCGATACCCACGTCACGTTTTAATCCCACGATTTTCTGACGATCTCTACATTTTTTGGACTTTGTTTCTGAAGAAGAAAAAACCCACAATTACGGTCTCTGTACCAAAAAAAAGATCTGAACTATCCGGCAACTCTTTTGTTTGGTTCTCACGATCCTAAAAATTATATATCTGCAATGGCCTATAAAATCCGAAATCTAACGATTCTAAATCTGAACTCATCCCCACCTCACTTGTGATTACTTTACAAAAAAGCAATAATTTTTAACCGCCGTAAAAAACGCACGCATTAATCGCAACTATTGAAAATTCTTTCTTGCATTTGACAGAATCCTCGGACATGAGATACCATAATAAAATTTTATTTTGCTGTTCGTAAATATTTCACTTTTGTGAGTGTGGAACAATTAATGCATGTTTTATGGTTTATATAAAGCATCAATTTGTTCCTTCACAAGTCTCCCTTGCAAGGGAAATATGCGTCCCTTTGGGCTGCACCACATTAAATAAACTCCTTTGGTGTTTAATACGGTAAGGCAGTCGTACTGTTACAGCTGACTTGAGGCAGACGGGTGTTTATGAATCTCGTCCGTTGTGTGGAGTTGACCTTGCAGTGATTGCCATGCCAGACTTGCCCCCATTTGCCAATGCACAAATGCACACGCTCCATTTGGAAGTAATCATTAATGAACTGTAATTGACAAAGCCATCACTGGGCAGTTGAGCTGCGCGCCACAACAGCGTGCATGTTAAGTAAAACTTACTTCGTTGTAAAGGATTATAAACAATTTGGCACTAGATTAATGCTTGTCAATTTTCCAATTGTTCCTGAATTGTCTTGGGTTTTTTTTTGTTTGTTTTATAACTGAAAAATGGAGAAATAAAAAAAGCATTTTAAGAAATATGGACGAAAATTGGAGGAAATTCAGAGACGTGTTTGGAGAAAACCCTACATCAGATTTGGCTCCCAGTGCCTTCCACACATTTCCAGACTTAAAAAAAAAAGATCACTCACGGGAAAAGCCACAAAGCGACCCTGAGCTTGTTGAGCTACGAGTGGTTTGAGTAGCGAGACTAAAAGAGTTCGTCCTTTGTTGGGATAGAATTCAAGGGCCCTCGATTACAACAATCGTGCACCAAGGGCGATTGTACTTCAGGACTTTTGTCTGATGTCAGTTTTCGGGTCGTCACAGCCGCATCAACATTTGTGCGCCGTCTTTGACGTTTCAACCCCGGGATTTTTCTGGGCCCTCCGCACCCTCGTCGTTCAGTCCAGGAGAGTTGACCCCTGGCAGAGAAAACCTTTGGTGACTCATTTCATCAGTCCCAGGATTCTAGTCAAATGCGTTGAAATTCCTATCGGCATTAGAGGCCCCCCCCCACCTCGCGGCGAACGCCCATCGGCCGTTCCGTTCCGCAGCGGCTGTTACCATCCTTTGGGATAACGCGCACAGCAAGAGCGACGGGCCTTGCGTTTCATGACGGTCACCTGGAGCGTCAGACATTCCCCCCCGCCGTTGCCGTCTCGTTACGCCCCCTTCCCCACCCCCCCACGTGCTCCATGCAAGTTCCCCGTAGAATGCGGGCGGACCCTGCAGCACACGCTATTATCTACTGTATTCTGGTAATACTTATTAAAACACGTAAGCTCTGGACGATTTAATTTTACGTTACGTTTTTTAGTTCACGACATTTGCATGCACTTTCCGTTGTATAGTTAAATTTTTTTGTTCGAAATTCACTTAACGTTTGTACAGGCAGCAGCGTCTGTTGCAGGAAGAGGAGGTGTCTGTGTTGTGGGTGCCCTGGGTTTCCAAGTTGGCACAGTCGGGAGCACAGGTGGTGCATCTGTCATCTCAGTTGACGCATAACACCTTGGTCTGTCCCGTCACCTCCTATTCGGCGAGTCTTCAACACTTCACATGGCCTCACGGTGCACCTAGCCTGGCATAAGCGCCCTGGTGACATCATCGCCACTTAGGGACAAACGTGGCTGTTGGGTTTTCATTTCCATTCACGAGAATTTTTCAATATAACTATAAGCCTTGCATTGCCACCACCCTGTTTATTAAACCCCTATCTGGCTGGCGATCATCAGCCGGAATCCGATGTTCGCATTGAGGAGTGTCCTGGAAAATCTTGGTAACCCACCAAATCTCAAAAGTCAGCTTTTGTCACGGGTAGGCAACGGATTCAATTTATGACAAAAGTGGAATTGTTAAGTTCCCTTGTTTGTCCACCTGTGGGCAGATTATACGACCAAATAATCTATCACGTTGCTTGTAGATTGTTTCAATTGAGTTAGTGTGGGTTATTAAAGAGAAATGCATCTGGGTTAACGGCTTCTTCCAAGACACCCCTCAAATGACGCGAATCAGGTTCCGATTAAATTCACAAATCTATTCTGAAACGTTTCGGTGAACGGTAGCGTCTCCCAAGTGGCTGCAAAGGTGCGACTCAAGCCCCATTACGTACAAGTCAAAATGCGAATCGGAACAACATCGATACTCGTGCGCTTACGATTCTGTGCGTGTAAGAATCGATATAGATCTGTAAATGATGCCTCATTCCACCCCAAGTGGTCATTGATGTGGAGTTGGCACATGCGTTGCCGCACGTGCTCGCATCAGCATCGGTTCCAGCCACCTGGGTTCGAACCCTGACCACCATTCACAGCGTCGACAGCAAGTGGCGTTTATGCCCGTCCTGGGCTTCCCTTAGGTCCACCCAGCCTTAAACCAGCGCCCGTTCCAGTTTGTAGACATCCACAGCGGAGGGAAATGACAACGTGCAGGCGTTCGCGCGCGTGTGGTGCTGGCAACGTCACCACCTTAACGTTTGCGCCACGCAGGCCTTAATAGGCGCTCGCTAACAGCAATCACAGCAACAGCCCCGTGCGGCTGAACTCGGTTCACGTGCAACTCACGAGGCAATATTTTTTTTACGTTTTTCAGTGTTGGGTAGAACGACGGGCAGTTGTGTAAATTCATTCATCCTCAAATATTTTTACGTAAACATTGCAACGCAATATAAAAAAAAATCATTTTTCTTTATTCTACCAGTTGGTAAGCAAAACGGCCTAAAGGTCAACAACCATTACCCAGGGTTTGACCTCCCTTCCCGAAGTCATGAGCTCAGTGGTTCTTCACTCTCACCAGCTGGAAATTGCCTCTGCGGTTGGGGAAGTGCAGCAACTAAATGTAAAAAAAAAACAATAAAAATTTACACGACACGTAATATAATTTAGGTTGCGTGGCCGCGTGCTTGTGTTTACGCCCGCACACGCGCGCATACACATATATTTTTTTAATTTCGGTAAAGTCACTCTCTCGCCGTTAACACTCTCCGTTTCGGGTCCGGGCGTTCACACGGCGTCTCGTTCACGTGGACGGAGCCGCCGCCGTTCACCTCCGCCAGACGGCCCCCCGGTGCCTACCGCTCGTTAGCTCCGCATGGTGGAGGGAAGGAGGGGGGGAGGAGGGGGGGGGAGGAGGGGGGGCCCCAGCGGGTCGATTCGTAACAAGCGGCCTCGGCCTTCGACTTGCCGTACAGCGGTCACGGGTGTGTACCTGTTTTATCAACCCTTAGAGGGATGATTGGTCGTGGCCGTGTGCTCTGCGCCGCTGGGCCCGTAAGATTCCGCGTTAAGTTGCTGGCGCTTGTGCGGCTTGGACGCCGCCGCTGCGCCCTCACTTTGGTTAAATTGCCGCTCGAAGAATGTCGCATGCGAGAGGGTGAACCCTCTCCCGTTCCTGAGACGTCTGCAAGTTGCAGAGTGTGTGGGTCTCATTCACAGCGGAATCTCGGAGCGTGCGAGCGGTTCGGCGTTGATTTTATCAAGAGAGGCGCAGCGGCGCTTGTTTTCAAAGGCATTGTACTCACCGCAGAGAACTATAGCGACACGACCGCAACTCTACGATAGCTGATGCCAAACTGTGCCATGCGCCCTCCGCAATGGGCCTTATACTTCTGATTCCGATGGCGGATGCGATTCCCCGTCTGGAATCGATTCCGTCATCGGAATGGAATCCGAAGAAAAGCTGATGACGTGCGCCATGCTTATGTCATCGGAACGGGAAAGGGTTAATACGGTAACGTGCGTACATCTTGTGTACCGTCCGGGTAGAGCGGTGGCGCGGTGATTACTGCGCTGCGCTATGAACTCCGGTACCTATAACCTACGCACGTATTCCCAGACAATGCTACTAACGTCAGCGGCGAGTGACATCTTAACCAGCCCTTCCTTCCTTCGCCAAGTGTGGTGAAGTATGGTCAAACGGCTCCCGTTCTTGTCAAGGTGTGGGGGCAGGCCCTCAGCCCAGCAGTGGATTTAACACCGTGCTGTAAATTATTCGTTTTCATGAATCGTTTCAAACTCCATCGGGGTTGACGTGGCACCTGACTCACCAATCGGTCCGAGGGGTCGATTTTCAGCCCATCATCCCTCCTGGGGGTTTATAAAATTAGGACCACTTTGTTGAGCAAACAGTATGGATATTGCCAGCCCATGCTGCCTGTAATAACAAATATATTTTCTTATTTAATTGTTTAGTTTTATTATTATTATAAACTGGTTATGGTAGAATTCATCCTAATTAAAACTCGTCCTCTTTCCGTTTTCTCTTATTTATGTGTGTGTAATTCGTGTCTTGGTGTACATACTGTCCCAATGTATATATGTGTCTGCACATGTGTGTTTCTATACTTCTGTGTACATACACACACGTACGTGTATCTGTATTTATGCTGTAAATATACTGTGTATATATGGTGGACTTTACCAATCGGTTAGACAAATTTTTTCGCTAGATGCAAAAGATTGTGTACTTTATTCTGCCAACTGTCTCTTTCCATTAACGGATTTAAATACGTCATTTTTTATTATTACTCCTGCTGACTGAAGGTAGCATAATTCATTTAAAGCAGTGGGGATCGTTTGGATAAAAAAAAAATGCCTTTGAGGTGGCCGAGTGTGGAGTTGGCACCTTTGAGATTCTGGGTAAAAAAAATTCTATGTTTTTGTTTCAGCTGTCTGCAATTTGAAGCGGGTTCCCGAATGTAGTGAGATGTTGGGCTCGGTGTGGTCGCCTGGGACTGCAGCAACGAAAAACTAGTCACAGATTAAGCCAATTGTCAAGCAACGAAGCGTTGCTCTAGCGGGGCGCTTGGGAAAGCACAGCGGACCTCGAGTGGAGAATACATTTCACCGGAAGGTATCTCGGAAGTAGTTCTTTGATATCTCCTTCCGCGTGATATGCGCTGCTCCTTGAGAGTTGTTGAATTGATGCCTCGCCCCAGACGTGTTAAACCAGTCGCCCGATACAACTGGGAGGGGTGGGGTAGGGGAACATGATTTGTAAAAAAAAATAATTTTAGTCTTCTCAAATTGTAAACTTCTGCGCGTGCGTAAGACAGGAGAAAGTCCGATTGGATTATCTTGGCACATATGTAGAAAGTTGAGATGGGGGGGGGGGGGGGATTCTGCCGAACACCTTTGGTACCTGGCACGTTAATGGGCGGTTGTGATTACAGTGGGGGCCTGCGTTTTGAATAATAATCTGCCGTTAGTAAACGGATCCCATAATAACCTTAGTAATTATATGACCCAAAAAAAACACCTCCTTTATAAATAAGAAAAGCACGTGGTCATTAAAGTTGTGTTGACTCACCTTCCGCTCGGGCAAGGTTGTGTTTTTTCTTCCGCTGGAACAATTCGTGGCTGCGCACGCTTGCCTGAACGCGCCCGCACAACAGTCGCGCATCGGGGTGGGGGGGGGGGGGGGGAACTAGTGCCGGGCATTTTAATATTTCAGCACGTGAATTATTAGAAAGTGTTTACGTCTCTCTTGGGAGGACGGCGAATTTTTAAAAATTGCTCGAGGGAGATCTCTCCTATCGCAGGAGAATTCACTCGAGGCTCGATGATTCTATTTAGCGGCAAAGCAACGAAAGAGAGCAACACCGCCGCCCATGCCGCTGTGAATTACCGTTCACAGCGGCGCCCCCATTATCCAGAGGCTAAAATAAAATTCTGAAAACATCCTTCCAATGGCTTAGTCGTATCACGGGGGTAGACCCATCCCGGTCATGCCAGCTTTGAAAACACCTCGCCCACTGCTGGATTAAATGCCCCCCCCCTCCCCCAAACCTACCCCAAGCTGTCACCACCATCTCTCAGTCTTACGATGTAATGATCCACCTGGCGCCCCGCTAACACGACCTGCTTTCACTTTCGTCGCTCCGTTTCCGAGGTGGATATCCTCACGGAGGAGCATTGCCTCAACCCATGACCTCCGGTCACCGCATTGCGAGCTTTTAGAGACACCCTTCTGCGGCCGTCTGGAATGCCCTTCCGATATTAGGAAGCCACTGGAGCCTATGCACTTTTGAATCTAGATTTAAAGCTAATTTCTTTAGAACTGCTTTTTGTGTGTTACTTTGTTATCCTTTCCCCCCGCACCTCCAATTAACACGGTTGGCTACGTCGTTTGCGAAAGAAGTTCAACGTACACAACAATACGTCCATCGCCAATCTCCACCTCCAGCCATCGCCCCTTCTCGTCACAATGCGCTCTGCCCAAGCCCAGTCACTTACTGCGTTCCTCTTCGTGTATCCTGGCCTACTACCGTGCGTGCATCTCTCCGTGCTGCTTTGCACACCTGTCATCACGTGTGTGTTCTCTTATCTTCGTCTCTGTGCCCATGGTTTTCCGATCCCGTGAGTCGTAGCCGGCAATGTACACCGGCGCACGGCAGCGTGACGCCGCGGGCACGGACGAATCAACGAACGAATCGGCAGCGTGCGTGTAGCGATCGTTGGGAATAGCAGATCTTTTAATCCAAAGCCATAAATCATCACATCCCTTTAAAATAAGACTCCGGGTGTCCTCGGCTCTCATGTGAGTTTAAATATAGGTCATCTATCTCTCGTGTATTAATGCCGAATGTCAACTGACAATTTACCACTCCGTCACTCTAATTTTTAACGACTTCCAACAGTAACAACGTGATGGTTATAAATGGCACGCAGGCTGTCGCGTTGCAGTTTTTTTTGCGCATTATCGTTTTTCCCCTGTGTGCTTTGGCAGCTTTTACCCCGTGGCGCCCAGAGCAAAGCAACAATCGCTGTTTGGGAACCACTGACCCAGACGAAGGGAATAACTTTTGCTGTGCTCAGCAAACACGGCTCGATCGAGCTCGGTGTCTCTCTCTCTCTCTCCGCCGTCTTTCCGAGCTGTGGTTGCAGCCGCGTGCCCTTTCTGCGCGGTTTCCCGACGCTTTTGTGCAACGTGCTGGCGGTTTGGGGAACCCTTTGGAGCTTCTTGCGTACAACTCAAATCGCCGCTTCCTGAACTCTCTGCCACCACGTGTTAGCGGGAACGCCGGGACGATCACGGACTTTTTGTTTTTTAAATTGCGAACGACAACGCCAGCGCGGCACAACCCGAGAACGCGTTGGGAGAGATTTGGAAGACGGGGGCAGCAGCAACCCCGCGGGAGGTCGTGCGATGTTTGTTTAGGGTCGCTGCGCGCAAACCCTGCCGATTTCACGCCCCAAGTTGGGATTCTGCATCGCCTCTGCTCGTTACCGTGGCCAAGCGGCGGCGTCGTATTTCACTTTGTTAACGTTTGCAGCGACAACAACGATGAGAAAAAAGCCAAATAAGGAAATGGGCTAAATAAAATAAAATGTATATGCGCGAGAGAAAAGAAACGGCCATTATTTTTCTAAGAGGTTGTTTTAGGGGGGGCTATAACTGCGCAAACGGAAACAAAATGACAACACGCACGGAAGCAAAAATCTGAATATTCCTCGACAATTTTGGGATGGGTTGCCTCCAGTTTTGCAGTGGGAAGCGCGCAGAAGTAGGAACAGGATAACGATCGCATTGAGAAGACTCGTTCAGAGCAGCGAAGCAGGCGGGCCGAGTGTCGGTGATAAGAGTGTGGTGGGTAGCTGCTTCTAATGCTTTGTTTACGTCGGAAGGTGTCGGTGGTTTTTCTTTCTTGTAAAACTCCCTTCATCATCATGCTTCCCCTACGCTCCCCCCGTCCAAGTCCTCAGCGAGCGTGACAGACGGCGCACGTTAACCCGTCGCACTGGATTTTTAAATCCTTTATATTAAGTTCACTTGCTTGCTTGCGTGCTTGCTTACGACCGTGCAAATCTTTCGGTCGTTTTTTAACCCACTTCCCGTGATCCAATCGAGCTGACATTTTGCACACAGACTCGTTGTGCGAGACAATTAATGTTCGTGAAAATTATTTTCCAAAATTTTACACTGTTTAGGGAAAACAAATTAAATATTTAATTACCAATTGCTTAATACTGGCAGACAATCATCTGACCCATAGGTGGCAGCCATCTCAAGCCAGAGGACGAGAGGACTCTAGCCGCCACGCATATAAAGGATTTATAGTGAAAAACTTTGTTTTTACGGGTACATTTTTTA